ACAGGAAAAGGCATTGCAAGACTTGTTGGTAAAGCGTCGTGCTGCTGCTATGGCAGTTCCAACAAATGACAAAGCTGTTCGGGATCGCCTTAGACGACTTGGCCAGCCCATTACTCTATTTGGAGAGCAGGAAATGGAGAGAAGAGCTAGGTTGACTCAGCTTTTGGCTAGGCTTGATATGGATGGGCAACTGGATAAACTGCTTATAGCTCAAGAAGAAGATGTGGCTCCAAAAGAGGAAGTGGATGATGAAGTACTTGAATACCCCTTTTTTACCGAGGGTCCAAAGGAACTTAGAGAGGCTAGAATAGAAATTGCCAAGTTTTCTGTCAAGAGAGCTGCTGTCAGGATTCAGCGTGCAAAGCGGCGGAGGGATGATCCAGATGAAGATATGGATGCAGAGACTAAGTGGGCTTTAAAGCATGCTAAAAACATGGTCCTTGATTGCAGTAATTTTGGAGATGATCGTCCTCTTACTGGCTGCTCCTTCTCACGCGATGGAAAGATACTTGCCACATGGTATGTCTCTCTTCTATCTCCTTCTCACTCTCAAGCACAACATATTCTCCACTTATTGTTTCTTAGGCTTGAAACTATTTTTGCTTGTCTCTATTTGATTAGAGTTACCTGGAGTAGATTGCATTCTACCTGCATATTCATTTTCATTGATGATATATGAGTACAGAAGTATCTTAATAATCCTGTTCTTAAACACTGAAGTTGCTGATTTTCCTCACTTTCAATTCCTTGCACCTTTATAAAACCATGAAGTTAGTTAGGTCTGTAGTTATCTTATATATAGCATACTCCATGTCTATTGCATTTGCCCTTTCTAACCGCATCACGCATTCTTTAGGTTCATGACGTGTGATTCACATAGTTCCCTTCTGTTTAGTAATTCATCGGTTTTCTTTGTCTAGTTCTCTGAGTGGAGTTACTAAATTGTGGGAGATGCCTCAAGTTACAAACACGATTGCTGTCTTGAAGGATCACAAGGAACGTGCAACTGATGTAGTGTTCTCCCCTGTGGATGATTGTCTAGCAACTGCTTCTGCTGATCGAACTGCAAAGCTGTGGAAAACTGATGGAACGCTCCTACAAACATTTGAAGGTCATTTGGATCGTCTTGCACGTGTTGCTTTCCACCCATCAGGGAAATACTTGGGAACAACAAGCTTTGACAAGACGTGGAGATTGTGGGATATAAACACAGGAGCAGAACTGCTTTTGCAAGAAGGCCATAGTCGTAGTGTCTATGGGATTGCATTTCAACAAGATGGAGCATTAGCAGCTTCTTCTGGGCTTGATTCACTCGCACGAGTTTGGGATCTCCGCACTGGTAGGAGTATTCTTGTCTTCCAAGGACACATCAAACCGGTAAGATTCTAGTTTTGTTCCCTTGGTCCTCTTATCCAGGCAAAAGCTATCATTTACTAACCCTTATTCTAATCTCCTCTGTTTTATGTGCTTCTTCAGGTACTCTCAGTGAATTTCTCTCCTAATGGTTATCACTTGGCATCTGGTGGTGAGGATAATCAATGCCGTATTTGGGATCTAAGAATGAGAAAGTCATTGTACATTATACCAGCTCATGCCAACCTTGTGTCTCAAGTGAAGTATGAACCACAAGAAGGCTACTTTCTGGCCACTGCATCATACGACATGAAAGTCAATGTAAATACTTCTGTAATCCCTTGCCTTAGTATTTCTTTTTTCAGTCTTCTGTTTCATTTGCTTATAGTTTGATTCCAATTTCTTATATTTTGTCTACCAGATATGGTCAGGAAGAGATTTCTCGCTCGTTAAAAGCTTAGCAGGGCATGAGTCAAAAGTCGCCTCTCTAGATATCACTGCAGATAGCTTGTGTATTGCAACTGTATCACATGACCGCACCATCAAGCTCTGGACTAGCAGTGGAAATGATGAAGATGAAGAGAAAGAGAAAGAAACAATGGACATAGATCTCTAGTTTCATTTTTCATGTTTGTGCAAGAAAAAAAAAACTTGGAATCCAGGGATCTAGAGAATTAGCTTGTTAGAGAGAATCATTAAACGGTATTGATATCTTGTCGGGAATTATAGAAACTCAGGATAATGATACGTTGTCTTTGAAAATTTTGCCATTTCGTTCAACAAAAAATTACGTTGCTATATACGATTTTACAAGGAACTGAAGTAATGTTCTGTATTTGTGACTTGTCTGAAGAACAAAGGATCTAAATATTACTCTGATTGCAGATTTATTTATACCAACCAGCAAGAAAGTGTCGAAGTATGAAACAGAAGGCGCAAGCTAGAGCCTGTAGCAGAAACAAGAATATCACAACACAATAGCGATTATTTCATTATATATGAATGGTGGTATACATGTATCTGAGACCTACCTGGAAAACGAGAAGATGGATGCAAAGAGACTTTTCTGATTTAGGACCAAACAACCTCAAGTAAACATTGACGAGTGTCCCATCTTTTGTGCCGGTCAGTAATCCGGTAGCAGGATCATACCTGGATATTTTCAAAAGTCAAGATGAGTGATGTGCCTGTTCTTTAATCAGTCTACAAAAGGTAAGAAAACAAAGGAGGTTACTTTGGGAGACGATGGCGCGGACATTTCACAATCCCAGCAAGCTGAAGAGTTATTATATATAGTATGTTAGATGGTTGAAACATTAGTTGACAAGATTATAAGTATGACATAAAAGAGTGAAAGTTGATATGAACCTGAGGAAGCGACAATAGAAAGTTCAGAACTTGAGGAAGAAAGAAGATGAGGAGGGTTTCACTGCAAAAGCGAAATTTCAGAACAGAAAGATGTCATGGGAATCAGTTGCATGGTCATACACTAGCTGGATATGCAAATGATGGATCTGAGAGTTGTTAGTTTCCATGTATTAGTGAAGTGCCTGTGCCTCAGAGAAGGTAGTGGGTTTAGAAGTATACCTGAAGTGACCCAGAATGCCAACAACAGCCATAGTCATTCCAGCGAAGACTGTGTAAGTGTCTCCAACAAAAACTGAAGAAGGATACCTAACAGCAGAAGATTGCGGGAACTGGTCAGAAAAGCATTACTTGCACTAAAAATAAAAGTTTTAAAGAGAAACATGTGAGGGATTTTACCAATTGTAAGCAAGCATTGCCAAGGATGTGGCCATCAGCGGTTGAGTAAGAAATATCGAGAAGGCATGAGCTTGGTGGTACTCGGGATCAACAGATGCTCCGATTTGCATAACGTTGTGTATCAGGATCTACAGGTAACTGGGATGTATCATATCTCAACCCAAAAGGAACAAAGAGAGAAAAATTCAGAGACATTATCTATGACCATAGGACTTACAGCAGCGGCAATAACAACTGTTTGACCGATTTCAAGGCCATTCAGACCAGCGTGGATGTTAATAGAGTTAGTACAAAAGACAGCAAGTAGCCCCATATATAACTTATATATCCGTCCTGCCACATTAAAACATCTACTGAGCTAGCTAATCATAATCATTTACCTCCTCAAAATAAATAAAAAACAATTATGGAAGTCAATGTGTACACATAGGTGGTAACATGTACAAGAACAATTACCTAGATCAAGCACTTCCAAGCCAATATAAGCAACGAGAGGTTTTGGTATAACAATAGTTGTATGACCAGCATAAGCCATCAAAAGTGGAAGGGTAGCAAAAGATGGCAGGACAAGTTTTCTGTTGTTTTAAATTGACAAAAGTAAACATGTGAATAAAAATGATGAGCGTGATTCATCGGAAAAAGAAAGATGTAGGAATTAGGACTTACACTCTCCAAGGCACATCAAGGACATCATCTACAAATCCAAGCAAAATCATGAAGCAAATAGATGCTAATGCTGCATTATACTCCACAAGCCACTGCACAGAATCAGAAACATTGATAATGAGAATAGCCACAGGGATCAATAAAACAGACGTTGATGCACACTTACATTTGAATCTTCAGTGAAGTTGAAATACTGAAATATAATCGCCACGATCAAGAAGACAATACCAACAACAATACCCAATGACTCTGGCCTGAAAACACAATTCAAGTAGAAATGAACCAGACTAATCTTAATCTTCCAACATCAGAGATTGATAAAAACTCACACTTTAATATCTCCTTGAGGCGTGCCTCTTTTGTTGATATCAAAACCAAACATATTACGCCTCAGAACGTATCTGGCAGCTACAGGAATCATCTTGAGAGTGACGAAGAACCCAACCAAGCTAAGCCCCGCGTTAATTAGAATCGATCGCTTGAGCTCATTGTCAACCTTGTAGTGGAAACAGAGAAGGTATAGATCGAGCGAGCAGAGAAGAGTAGAGATCACGAAGATCACTCCCAATTTCGGGGGCGCGAGCCTGAATTCCTCACCGGAAGCAGAAACGGTCTTTCGGGTCATCTTCTGCTCCGGTGGCGCTGAGTTGGGTTCTACCGGATCCTGTTTGTTGGAAATTGACATCGACGAAGCTCTCTTACGAGCTGCCATGGCGGATTCGTTGGCTCGTTTCGTTTCCCCGCGCTCTGGATTTTGACTCCAAACCCCGTTCGCCTGAGAAAGAGATTTCAGAGCAATTCCCGTTTTGCGTCACAGACACCAATAGAGATTTGCCACGTCGCTGCATTGCGACACCGTGTCATCAAAATAAAACCTTAATTAACATCAATAATTCTTCGTATATGCGTTGTCAAAAAAAAAAAAAAAAAAAAAATTCTTCGTATATATATGCTTTTGCTGACCAAAAAAAGAAAATGGTACATTCTTGTAGGCTTGTAGCATATAACTTCGTGTTGCTACAAGAAAATATCTTGGATTATACTTTAAAACTCCTTTTTTTTCAAGAAAAAAATGCATAAATTTTGTTAAGAATATTTCTTGTAGCAACACATCAGCATGAAAGTAACTATTGAAAAATTAAAACTAAAATTTATATTTAAAATATTATATATATAATAATATAGTTATTATGTAATAATAGTCATAATTTTTAACAAAGTTTCTTCTAATATGAAGATTGACATAGAAAGTTATTTATTTAGGAGATATTTTCGATCGATAAGATGAAGAAGATCCATCAGACTCTTGCTCACTAATTACGCTTCCATTCCATCATTGGAACTTTGAGATGATCATTTTGAAGAAGAACTATCAGATGAAATCTGTGAAGAAGACCCATCACTCACAGAAGAAACTTGCTCAGTACTTTCTTTATCCGTAGAAGTTTGAGAGCTGCTAGTATTATCACTACTTTCATCTTTAGTTACACAACTACACCAGTTTCCCATTAATGTCCCTACAAACATTAAAAAAAATGTTAGAGTTGCTAAATTATATCTTAGTTTTTTTTGTTAAGTGTTTTCATATTAACTGAATAGTACTTATTGGTCTTTACTCTTTAGGATCAGTTTTTAAAATGCAACAATCACTTGTAGTTCAAAATAAGTTTTTGCGAATGTACCTTAAGAGTTATAACCTTCGCAAATCTTAGAGTAAACAATACAAGTATATCAGATATGTTTGATTGGGCTCTTATGATCTCTACACAATTCTTCCTTTTATAGTGAGAGAAAAATATCTCAAAATTCAATACAATATCCTTTACTATTTAATTAAAGTTTTTTTTACAAGATAGAGTCGACCTATTATTAGAACTTGGATGCATATGGATTATGATTTATGTCTTTTTTTTTTTTTTTTGTTAAAAGGCTTGGATTATGATTTATGTCACAAAGTTTTGTGATATTTTAATCATAATCTAAACATTTTCTATGTCTTCTACTATATTTTGACACTTGTGTGTAAGACATAAATTGTAAGAGGAAATATTATTGATAGTTTTTTTTTTTTGGATTTTGGTCAGAAATATTGAGGAAAAAAACTCATGAGTACAAAATAAAAGTAAAATTTAGTTAAGACAATAAATACGAGAGTTAATGTATTTCTTAGAATAAAAATATAAGTATGAAATCATATATATGAAAGGAGGTCATTTCTCTCCATCCTTCCGACACGTCAGCATTTTTGGCTCTTTTGGAAATAACACATCAGTTTTTTATTCGTCCAATCTAAACATTTCATTAATACACATCAGCTTCTAATTACAAGTGTCAAATGGAATAAACAAAATAGCCCATGACGGATGGATCATATGTGTTTTAGATTCTATTAGAGTGCAATATTTATGGGTCGAGCCCATTTCAGTGATGGCTTAATGCTTCTAAACTCAACAAATATTCTAATTCCCCACAAGACTTTAACAAAATAAATCTCTCTCACTCCCTGCTCAATCGTTCAATATGAAAGAAGAAGAATCTCAAGGCAAATTTCTCGATTTTGTAAATTCCATCCTTCATAGTCTCCCTTTTTGTACATCATATTTCTTTAGAACAAACGTTTTCTACCTTCTAACTGCCAGAATGGAGGCCACGGTAGAAGTTACACAAAAACATATTCACACTCTCAGCTTATGGGATTACAAACTTTCACTACTATAAACACTATAAATACTCAAACAAACATTGTTTATACCGGATTATGTGTTTCAGACAACATCAGTAAATGTTTACCAAGGTCCAAGGAACATAAAAACGATACAGAACCACCATCATGTACAACCTACACGGGAATTACAAAATGAAAACATCAGATACAACTCAAGTTGACAATATCGATATATACAACATTGAATAGCTACTCACCTGAATTATCACTGAGGTGGTGATATTTGGAACAACTGTCAAAACACAAATACTCTGTAGTGTCCTTTTCAGTATCGTTTCATACTCCCTTTCAACATTTCCTATCAATATTCAAAGCAAAAGTAATTCAGATCTAAAAACCAAGAATCACTTATACGACATACTCAAGCAACAAAATAAGCCTCCTTCTGAAAAACTAAACGCATTTACGATTACCAATCTATCCGGTTTAAGGCTTCCATATGACTTCAAAATAAGCCTTCTCAGCATTTCCGTTCTTTTTCGTTCCTGCTTTAGGTCTGTATTGTGCAGGTAGAACTTTTGTATCCCCTGAAAATATAAACAAGAGAGTTCAATAAATCCCACATAAAAAAACTTTGTACCCATAATAGATATTGAGAAAGCTGATAAAATACCTTTTGACCAATTAACAGAGTCATGAGGACGATGAAGGATATTACGGGAACAAGCAAGAGGTCTCAGCTGACAAGTAAGTCTTTTTTCCGGATTATATTTCAAGTAAAAAAAAAATAGATCTAATCTTAAAAGTTATAACTACATAAAATAGATTTAGTATTATTAACTACATAATAACAAATAAAAAATAAACATAAATTAGCAAGAACAATCAATAATTTTTTCTTAACAATTTTCAAAACAAACGATATGCGTATGTGGGTATTCATCTAGTATAAGGAAAGATAGCAAAAAAAGTAAGAATAAATCAACACAAAAAAAAAGTAAAATATAGATAACCAGGGCCGGCCCGCAGGACAGGCCACCCAAGCGGTGGCTTGGGGCACCACAATTTTTTTTTTTTAAGGTTTTTTTTTTTTTGGTAAAAAGGCCCATAAAATGAAAATATTTGGTAGAAACTAAAGTTTTTTTCGAAAAAAATAAATAAAATAGGGCCCAAACAATTAAATTTGAATGTAATAATATTCAAAATATCATTATTTTTGTATAATTTACTAAAAATAGGTCAAAAAAAAATTTAGCCCTAAAACTTATAAATATATTGAGCCTCATTTTATTTTTCGTGTAGGACCTCACAAATGTCGGACCGGCACTGTAGATAACCAAATATATTGTAACAACGTTACATGTCACGCATCCATACAGACAGAGACACTACGTTACGAATTTCAAATGGTACAAAGGATTATCTTTCTATGGTTGAAAATATGTTAGAAGTTCTTACAAAAGTATTACTTTCTTAATAATTTTATATTGAATTCTCTAATTTCAAGTACAGTAATTTATGTGTTTTTTTTTTCCTTTTTTTCTTATATATAAAGATTTTGTCTATGCTGGTTTGGTATATACGAAATTGAGCATACGTCCTTGAAAAAGAATTTTAAAGTTGTAAGCGATAAATATGTCGACTTACTTGCAAGTAAGAAACAGATGGATCGGACAATTCCAAAATAACTGACCTGAAGCTACAATTTCGAGCCTGTAAACTAGGGTTAATTAATGAGTTTGAACAGGCGTTGTGACTTGGGAAATGATACTATTATGAACTAATGTGTGGATATATTTTGAACGATACGTTTTTCGATCTTAATTAATCTTATATGTTAGTAGCCAAAAGAAATTCTTACAGCTTCAGATACGCATGTTTTACAAATATACACATTTTTACAACAACAAAAAGAAGAAGATAAAGAACAAGGTTAAAAGTTTATAACAGAACTACGAAGATCTATATATATATGTTCATCAAATGAATTTCCGTTCAATAGAAAATCACACTTGGACGAAAGTCTCTATCAACCGATACTGCCTAGCATGCATTCTATGTTCATCATGAAGGTTTGTGTGATAGTACCAAACAAGAGGAGCTGAATGGAATTGAGATTCTTTGTCCTTTTCACATTCGTTATCGAGTAAATCATTTTTCTTCTATATTTGATCTCAACTATTAGATTTTTTTTTTTTTGTAGTACGTATAAAAACAATGATTTGGATTGAGACAAAACTACAAGTGCGGCTGATGTGAACGGGAAAAAATAGTGACGGCTTATATCTGAATTACGTTGTGAACACGTTTGTTAATTTCATGGATTGCTAAAGTTTGGGGAGAGATCAAAGAAGCTTTAAGTAAAGCAAACGAATCATATATATTGTGAGAGGCTTTATATTTTTGTTGTTGTTGTTTAAACTGTTTTTTTTTGCTCTTTTTTTTTTAAGGTTGAAACATATTTTGAAAGGACGTCACGAAACTCGTAGACAGCGCATGTTAATTTTCCAAATAAATTATATTAAAACGATTATAAATCAAAACCCATTACTTCACATAGTGGCTACCAAGTGTATATACCAATATAAATCAATTAAAAAAAAAACAATTCCCATAAACAAAACGAAAGTGAAGGCACTATGTGTCCCCACACGGTTCCATTGAGACAAAGGCATATGTATGTATGTGACTCACATAATGTGAGTATAAATATAAGTTGGTTCTTGAACATCATTGCATGTTAATTAATCACACAGAAAAAAATAAATAATAGTTAAAAATGGGAGTGTACGTAGGAAAGTATTGTTATGTAATGATAATAGTGTTGGTGTTGGGAAACGAAGTGAGAAGCCAATTGTTAAAAAATGGTTATTATTCAACTTCATGTCCAAAAGCTGAGTCGATAGTAAGATCCACTGTTGAATCTCACTTTGATTCTGATCCCACAATTTCCCCTGGCTTGCTTCGGCTTCATTTCCATGACTGTTTTGTTCAGGTTCCAACTACTTTCTTCTTATTTTTAATCTCAATCTTTTATCAATTATACAAGTTAATTGATTGTTGAATATAACCTATTATTAGGGTTGTGATGGTTCGGTTTTAATCAAAGGGAAATCTGCGGAGCAAGCTGCTCTACCGAATCTTGGTCTAAGAGGGTTCGAAGTGATCGACGATGCGAAAGCCCGGCTCGAGTTGGAGTGTCCAGGAGTTGTGTCATGTGCAGATATACTTGCACTTGCAGCTCGTGATTCTGTTGACTTGGTACGCAAGATTACTAAACCTAATTAGGGTACTTAATTCCTTTAATTTGGTAGATTTTAATTACTGATATGAGCTGAGTTACGTATTTTTGTATGAAAATAAGAGTGATGGGCCAAGCTGGCGAGTACCAACGGGTCGCAAAGACGGGAAAATCTCGTTGGCAAAAGAAGCATCGAATCTACCTTCTCCACTTGACTCTGTTGCTGTTCAAAAGCAAAAGTTTCAAGATAAAGGATTGGATACTCATGATCTCGTTACTCTACTCGGTATGTCTAATAATTCGTCTATCTCTTTTTCTATTATTTAAGAACTTTTAAGGAAGATTATTTTCTAATTTCTTGTTGAGTTTGTCTATTTGTTTATATTAAAACTCTATCCATATGTTCAAAGAAACATAAGTATTAGTGAGATCTTCAAAGTTGCAACTAAGCCATATGCTGCTGCACACATCACATGCCAACATGAAAAACGTGGAAGTGACTAAAAGTTGGAGTGAACCTTCTTTCATTTTATTGATATTTTAGCAAAAACTTTTAGTTTATTAGTCGTTGATTTGAGGAAAATCAAAATGGAAACAACACCTTTTTTCGTCGTCTTACTCAAAATAGACCAAGAAAATTTGCGACAATCTTTTTCATAAGGAAAAATTGGATACATCCTTGGAACAATAACGCATCTAAAAGAGTTATAATTTTCTTGAGGACAGGTGCACATACGATAGGCCAAACGGACTGTCTCTTCTTCCGTTACCGTCTATACAACTTCACGGTGACCGGAAACTCCGATCCAACCATAAGTCCACCGTTTCTTACACAGCTCAAGACTCTCTGTCCTCCCAATGGAGACGGTTCCAAACGTGTTGCTCTTGACATTGGTAGTCCCTCAAAATTCGATGAAAGTTTCTTCAAGAACTTACGCGATGGCAACGCTATTCTAGAGTCGGACCAACGGCTTTGGTCAGACGCCGAGACAAATGAAGTGGTGAAGAAGTATGCGAGTCGTCTTAGAGGTTTGTTAGGGTTTAGGTTTGATTATGAGTTTGGTAAAGCTATGATTAAGATGAGCTCCATTGATGTAAAGACTGACGTTGATGGTGAGGTTAGAAAAGTTTGTTCCAAGGTGAACTAGTTTGAATAAAAACATAAACTATATGTATTCTCTATGTTTCAGATTTTTAATCACTCAATGCATGTTACGTAATTGTCTTCCCTTCAAAATAATTACGAAGGTTATGTTCCTTAATTTAGTCAACAAATGAACAATCAAAGTTTTTCCTTCCGTTTTTAAGATTTGTGATGCCACTGTGATTTTAAAATTTCAATAGAAAATAATATAGTCAAAAAAAAAATTAATGTAATGAATTTTCTGTTTAGGAATGAAAATTTTAATTTCCATTTTTACTAATTTACTCTTTACCCTTTACTAAATTCCCTTTTTATCAATGATTATTTTCCTTTTTATAGTGATTGAGCAAAACTATGCATAGGACAATAAAATAAAATTCTGGTTGGCAAAAGAAACCAATTAGATTCTGACAAACAAACAAAGAATATCAACTTCTCCCATTTATTAAAATACGCGTGATCCTCGTGTCGGTCTTTTAGATAATTTGTTTGGTTTGTTCCAAACCCCAAAAACCACTAAGATCTGACCATTTTGTTCATCGACTTTTTCAACTCAAAAAAAAAAAATGCTCAGATTAGCGATTTCGTTGTTTCTTTTTGCATTATGCTCTTTGACATCATTTTCGTCAGCAAGATCCTTCATCACCACAAAACCTCTTCCGATTGATTCATTTCTCCCTAAACCAAAGCTAGAGGTAATTAAATACCATTTTCGATTCATTGCAAAAATTATGATCCATGGATTGCATAACCAACTGATTGATTTTATTTATAATTTGGATTTAAATTCAGAATGCGGGTGTGTGTTCTTACACGGTGATCATTAAGACAAGCTGTTCCTCCGTGTCTTACACTAGAGATAAGATCAGTATATCGTTTGGTGATGTCTACGGCAACGAGGTGAGTTTTTTTTCTTCTTTAAAGTCAATTCTTGGTTTTGGATCTACAAAATATCAACAATTCGGGTTGCTTCCTTCAATGCTAAATGAATCCTTAATCAATCGAATTTGATTTTCGACAAATTTTCTGGAATTTTAGTTTACAACAACCCGGTTCAGAATATCCAAGTAGATTTTTGGTTTGGTAAGAAACTTGAATAGCTTCTGGATCTTGAGATCCAAGAAACTTGGGCTTGAGGTTTGAGTGGTTGACCAATCCTCTACCTAATTGTCGCCGCCTAGTCGCTAGCCAAGTAACTTGGATTTGTTTACTACATTATTTTGAACAATTTTAAGTTCATCCCATAAAACAATAAAATTAAAGTATAGTATTTAACTTGCATTTTAGTAACGATGATGCATACTCAAGAGGTTTTAAACATGTTAAATTGTCTTTGTTTATTTGTCTTAGGGGGTGTTATTCATTCATGGACTTAAAGTCAATTCTTAAAGGTTTAGATTTGATTTCTGATATTGTTTTTAACAATCTGTTTGTGTGGAGTTCAAAATCTCTGCAGTATATCTAGGATTATGATTCTAATTATTTACTCATGAAATCCAAAGATGTTTCATTTCAAATGATTTGATATACAAAGATTTTACAAGTCTTTTAGTTTTGAATAACACTGGATTTTAATGAAGCATAAAAGAATATTTTGGCTTCTATAAAGTAAATAATTCTTTTTGGTTAAGGTGTATGTGAAGAGACTAGACGATCCATCCTCGAGGACGTTTGAAAAGTGTTCTTCAGACACATACAAGATATCGGGACCGTGTATGCGCGACGTTTGTTATCTCTACCTCCTCAGGCAAGGATCCGACGGCTGGAAACCAGAGAACGTTAAGATCTACGGTTCATCCATCAGATCAGTCACTTTCTACTACAACCTCTTCTTGCCTAACTCTGTTTGGTACGGCTTTAATGTCTGCAATGGCATTAGCAATACCAAGCCTTCTCAACCCATCAGTACTGCCTCTTCCGTTGCAGCTATGTAAGATTAGTTAAAAAAATAAACAAGGACTTGTGATTGTCTGTGGATTACTATTTTTGTGGCAGAAATACATGGAGAAGAAGTACAAATGTGTTGATCATGAGTGTATTTGAGAAAAAAAAAACATGTATGTTGATGCTTTGATTTTATCTATTGCAAGTGGCTACTTGCGAAGTGGCCTAGCCTTTTTTTTTTTTTTTTTTTTTTTTCTGATATAGAATATAAATAGCATGTAAAATAAAGTAGTATTTCAATTACTCCAAATTGATCAAGAAAGACGAAAAACTTTAGGGTTTTGTTGGCTTCGATACCATATAAATTGGGAAATTAATGATTGTGACTAAAATAAGTCTCTTGCTATACAAGTTAAACCCAAAACCTTATACAACTGATTATTCTCATCCTTATCATAAGTTCGTAACATAGATCTTAACCAAACAAACTCTCAATCGCTCCATGTTTTTGTAGAAGGCGTGTTAGGATCTCTACTTTTGAAAGTATCTCTATTTTCTTCTCAGCTTTATCTATACCTCTATCGTTTGTTTTATTGTTTAGGTCCCAAGGATGACGGAACTTCCTTTTGACTTGGTCTGTGAGATACTTGCAAGGGTTCCAGTTGAGGACTTGCTACGGTTTAGATGTGTCTGCAAAAGCTGGCGTTCGTTGTTCCAAGATGAGGGATTCATCAGAAAGCACACAACTCATGCCCCGAGTATGTTTCTATTGGCGGCTAATTGGTGGCCACAGTATAGACTGCGCACTTGTACTTACGAAGGTCTTACGCTAAAGATGATATTCCAAGAGCCTGAATTGAACAATGATGGAGAGAAAACGAGTGTCATCGGTCATTGCGATGGACTCTTTTGTTTAGAGCTTGAAGACACTTCTTTGGCTGTTTGGAACCCTGCTTTGAGAGAGTTAACAAAAGTACCTAGAATCGACCAACAACAAACTCGGGGTATGAGGATAGGTTTTTGTTACGACCACTCAATTCAAGATCACAAAATCGTTTTGATGCCGCTCAAGAATTGCTCTAAAGCACATGTGTTGACACTTAAGTCCAGTGTGTCTAGGATGATTGATTTCCCATGGAGGCAAAACTGTGAGTTGATGACTGTTAAAAAAGAGGGAATCTTGGTGGGTGAAAATATCTTCTGGCCGCTCTATTCTCATGAATTTACCATTGAAAACGGCGAAAACATCCTGAGCTTTAGTGTGGTGTCAGAGACATTCAACTACTGCTCTTGTCCTGGTGGAAAACAAGTGTATAGAGTTTTAAAGGTGTTGAGAGGAAGTCTATGTGCGGTGGATGAAGAGAGAACAAACTGCCATGTTATGGTGGTTTGGTGTGCGGACCATGAAAAGGAAGACAAAGGTCGAATCAAATCTTGGAGAAAGATCTTGAGGCTGACGGCATCTGATATTGAAAGGTCAACACGTTGGCAGGTTGTGGAGTTTCGGCTAGGAGCTGTGATAAACCGGTCAGGATTGTTGCTTGTGCTTGTTAGAACATTTGAAATAGGATTTATACTATATGAATACAACTTGGAGAAGGATACAATGAGACAGGTTGATACTAGTTTTTGCTACAAATTAAATTACAAGCTGGAGGAGTATATTGCAACTCTTGTTTCCTACTAGACCACCACCTCTACTAAGTGTTAAGCTTTTAGTTTTAATGTTTTTATAAATGCTATTTCTTCACAACATTGATTCTTACTTCTACTCAATTGATGGGTTAATTTGTTGTTTCTATTCCTTTCGTTAAGTGAATAAGAAATGCAGTGAGAGCAATGAGAGTAAACCATACCCATAGATTGGACAAGACTCAATTTGTTTGGAGCCTGTTTACTGATAGATATATTATTCCATATTTTACATGACCAAGCTTTCTGTAGAAGCAAAACCTGTGAATCTCTAGCTAAAAGCTACTAAAGACTTTTAGCCAAAAAAGCTGGGAATGGTGAAACTTTGAATAAATCAGAGCTTGAGAATAAGGCCAATGGGGCAATGATCACTTCCATTGATATCAGGGAGGATGTAAGAATCATGGACATTGGCTGCAATTGATTCGGACACCAAGAAGTAGTCCAGTCTCCATCCTGTTTCACACCATCTCACTAGTTTAAAAACCGAACATATGAATCTAAAAATGTATCAAACAAACTTAATTACCTCTGTTGGTTTTGCGGCCACCATGGCGATAACCCCAATAAGTGTAACCGACAACACCAGGATGTTGTTTTCTAAAGGTATCTACAAATCCCTTGTCTAAGAAGTTTGCACCAAAGGACTGCCTTTCTTCTATTGTAAAACCAGCATTTCTTTTGTTCCCCTACTTATAAGATATGGTCGAAAATTATGAAACCCAAGAGATTACTTTCCACTAAAAAAAGAGGAGGGAAGAAGCATTCGAGTTACCGCAGGATTGAAGATGTCAATTTCTTCATGAGCACAGTTTAGATCACCCGTCAAGACTACAGGCTTAGACTTTTCCAGCTCCTGCAGATGCAAAAAGGCCATTGAACTTGTGTAAGAGGACAAATACAACAAAATAAAGAAACCCGTAAGAAACATTTCATACTTTGATATGGTTGCTGAGGGTTCGATCCCATTCTTCGATCCTGTATGACTTGAAAACCCACGGACCCCATTCGTTAGAAAAGAAAAGTAGAATATATATGTCAATCATGACAACTAAATGCAATAAATTTGAGGAGTACCAGTCTTTTTAAGCCATCTCCGGAATTAGGGACGTAAGTATTTATCAAGTAGAAGGAGTCGAATTCAGCAGTTACAATACGCCCTTCCATGTCATGATCTGATCCAGATAGACCAGTACCATATCTAACTGAGAGTGGTTTTATCTGTCAAAAGACCAAACTGATTAAAACACACACAATTCAATTAAACATATCAGATAACATGGATATGAAATAACAAATAAGCACATTCTTCTGTTACCCGTGAGATTATTGCAGTTCCAGAGTAGCCAAGTTTTGAGACGCTGCAGGACCAGAAACTATGATCATAGCCATCAATAAGAGTATTCTTGATTTCCTCAACATCCTTTACCTGTCATAAGTTTGATAGATGTCTTTAGGACAAGAGATTTCTAAATTGGCTAAGTTTAAAAAAAAAAAAAAAAAGCAGTAAAAAGTTAAGAAGGGCCTAAAGTTATGACCTGGAGTTTAGTCTCCTGCAAGCACAAGATATCAAAGTTTTCTCTTTGGGCAAGCTGCAGAGCAGAGAAGCTCTCTAACTTCAACAATGCTCTCAGTCCATTAACATTCCAAGTCATAACCTTCACACACTTGGTACCCTCTGGTAGAGGGGGAGGTCTCATTGTCTTTGGGTTATAAGCTTTCCAGTCCTTCTGAGGCTTCTTATGAGCAAGTACAGTCCACGGTTCACTTTGACTCAGGGATGAGATCATTTCTTCAGGTTTCAGTAATTCACTAGAGATGGTCGATGATGCTTCCTCTTTTGAATGAATTTGCTGCTTACCTAGGAAGATTAATTACACGCAATGTTTTATCATACTCTATGAAGATGCAGGCATTTAATTACACAGAATTCGTTTATTCTAACACGTGACAAACCTGTTTTTGTCAATGACTTCTGTTCTTTCGAGACGGCTTTCGCAAAAACTTTAGCTTTCAAGTTTTTCTCAGTAGACTGTTTTACTCTTTTTTCTCCTTGTTCAGTGCCATAAGCTTCAGAGTTACTGCAGTCATCTTCAGTAGGCTCTTCCGTGTTTCTGATCTTTCTTTTGATCGTGACACTTTCTGAACGGGTGGACGAAGTAGTTTCCTTTTGATCTGAAACAGAACTTTCATTTGAAATTGATAAACAGGCAAGGACTTGGTTTTTACTTAAAGAGAAAATGTAGAACAGACACAGCTCCGAACCAAAATTCTTAGAAGCCATAGCAGTTTAGAGACTTTTAAATGGAACAAGCATAGACAACTACTAAATGCAAACAAGTTCATGCCTTTTTCTCGATACGATACATGAAATAGAAAAGTGTGTGTTCTTGGTGTGCAGTTACATACCAGGTAAATTGCTGTCCATATGAAGTCGTAAAGTTGAGATAAGTTTTTGTTTGCGTCCTTTCACAGGTAGCCCAAGTTTCCTATAATCAAAACCAAAAAAATGTTCCACATGTTTAAACAATGAACAAGAATCTGGATGTCCACAGAAACAATAACAAAGCAGCAAGAGAAAAGAAAAGAATAGAAACTTTCCTCAATGTGGCTCTAAGTTCTTGAACCGTCATCGCCTCAATATCCTTTCGATCATCTTGAAGAGTTCCCATTTCAGCTCTACCAATATCACTTCCCTACACATCAAAACCAACAATTAAACAAGCAAACCCAAAAAGAAAAACCTTAGCTACTAGTGCAAGTGAACTGATCAATCACAAACCATCTGAAGACAATTCTGATCAGTAGCTGCTCCTACTATCTTGAGTTCCTTTCCTTTGCTGTTGTTGATAGAGAAAGGTACAGATTTAACTGTAACTGTAGCATTTGACATAAGCCTCTTGTTGAAACTTCTTGTTCCTCCAACGATAGATGAACCAACTCTTAAACTCCTAAGAGGCACTACCAGAAACCTAGGAGAATTTTGGAAAACATAAAAAGTTGAGAAAAAAGGTCACAGCTTTGAGAAAGTCCAAACATGAGCTAAATGAAACAGAACCCAGAAGAAATCCGAAATCAACGAGTAAAGGGTTTGATTTGTCCGAAAAGATTGAGAAGATAACAACACAGAAAATCCCTAAATTTCAAGAAGAAGAAGAAGAGGCGATATAATTCACTAAACTATTCGAATCAGTTATTAACAGATTTAGACAGAACCGTTACTTGGCGACATTGATGACGGAGCTCTGGAGACCTAACTGAAGAACCTTGTTCATCGAAATAAGGGCACAAACTCGAGACTCGAGAGGAAGGAGAAGGAAAGAACCGCCAAAAAAAGAGCTCGTACGCGCGTATACGACACGCGCCCACTGTCTTTGGTCACTACTCTAAAACGCTAGTCGTAAACACAGACACTATCATGATTCATTTTCATATCAAGATTCAAGATCAACAACAAAATCCAAGCATTCTACATAGAATGTATATAAATGGACCAATTAGATCCACAAAGCCTGCTCTAATGTTCTTCTTTGTATAGTTAAAACCTAAGGCAAACAAAAAAAAACTTGGCGAAAATGTACAGAAAATCTCTCAGTTTCATCTCTCTGCAAATATTTGAAGTCTCTCTTCAAGAAAGTCATAATTAAACATTTTGGATTGTTTCTAAGCCTGGAGATGATTTCGGGGGTATCGCTGATGCTGATTGAGATTCACAATCAAGATCAAACTCCAACACTTTCCTAGTAGTTGCTTGAGATGATTCTCTAGTAATGCTTGAGGTTGAAGAGTTGCTTCTATTCATTGAGAGAGACATGTGAGCTGAAGTTACCACTGAGCTGAAAACACCGGCTTCTCTTAGCTCTTGGATTATAACCTGAGAAAGATGATATCTTTGTTCAATCAAAACCACTCAAGAGGATGTAGATTTGGTAGTAAAACTAACTGACCATTGGTGCATAAATGCGAGTCAGAATTCCTTTCCTAAGAAGTTTTAGGATCAAATTTTCGTCAGTCCATACAACTTTTTCTCTGTACCATTGGAGCATTTCCTCTGAAGTTGAAGTTGAAGCAATGATGAATGCCTGCAAAAATAAAAACAGAATGTGATGAACAAGAACTATACCAATCGACAAAAACAAATCAAATCCTAGCTTACGGCTCTGTCAAACTCTAGCATGAAACATCTCTTGACATCTTCTTTAGTTGGTTTGCAGCCACATCGATCATGTCTTGAAGTAAGATCTGAAAATTTCGAGTAAGTGTAGTGAAGAATCGCAGCTTCCCCTAGTTCCATGACGCTGTCACAACAAAGATGGAATCAATGTCAGATGATTATGGATGTCTATCAGTCTATGTATAAGCCAAGTGATGAAAAGAACTAACTTTGGGTACTTCATGTAATTGTGCCATCGATGAGCACCATTGGGCCGAAGATGGTCTTGAATCCGAGCAGCGGATTTCCCATTTGCATAGGTAAGAAAATAGTTCGGATTGCCACGAGTTGCCTCTTTATAGTTTCCATAGTAAACATCTCTAGGAAGATGTTTGAAATTCTTCTTGAACATTGATACCTAAAGTTAAGTTAAAAAATAAACACTTTTAGATATGTTTAAGATAAAACTCATATGAGCATACATCCCAAAGATAGGAAGCTCTAGATGATAATGTTTTGTACCTCAGTGAAAGGTTCCTTGATATCATCTCGCTCAATGCTGCTCTCCTGAAACAAGAACATATGCGAGTCATCCACATCGTCAAACCAAAGAAAAAAAAACAATTCCAATGTTTTCAAAGACTTCTAACTCACATAATTTGTAAAGATAACTGCATCCACATCTGCAGGAACATCTCTGAGCAAATTTCTCAAGGAATATTCACGGGTTCCAGAAGGATGTACAAGCTCATCAGTGTCAAGATGCAGTATCCACTCCATACCAGCATCCTAATATATACCAAGAAAAAGGAGAGAATGTGAAAAGGTTGGAAATTCTATAATTTATCTTTCTAGTGACTAACTGAATGTATATTGAGTCAAATGCAACAAGTACCCTTGCCATAGTGATAGCCATTTCCATATTCAGGTTTTGTTTCACGAATAATTCGTAATTACATGGTTTGTAGAAAAACTTCTCCAACCAGGTCTCATTCCATATCCGGCTATAAACCAAAGAAAATGTGATGAAACTTCAAACTTCAAACTTAAATAACACCTCTACAACAACCATTTCTAGAGGTGGCCTGTTTTGATACATCAAGACCCAAAGAAGCAAAACACAAGAGCGCACCAATGTCTAGCTCTCTAGCTCTAACCAGAGGTGGTTCCTTCAAATCCTCCATTTTTAATACCTAGATGGCTCTAAAGCCATAACTTAATGACAAACTAAACACAAGAATACCTTTTAGCTTGTTCTTCTTCTAACTCTCTTGTTCTGTATATAACATTTACACCCTGCAAACAAATATTGTCACTGTGAAAAAGAAGGCAACGTAAAGACAAAATCAGGATTCATGAACAGATCAATTGTAACAAAACAAGACTCGTAAAAGCTCACAGGGATTGTCTCCAAAACTCGAGACACATTTGGGGAAGCAGCAGTGCCTTCAACGAATAGATAAAAAGTTGAAACTCCAATGACCTTGTGATAGAAAATCCATGGCAATGTCTGCTCTAATCCAGCAGAAGTGCTCGTAGTAATACATATCTACACAAAAATCCGATTTTTTCATCATCAAATGAATCAAGTCTTAGCATTTACCAAAACCCATCAAAAATTGGATTCAAGAGTTCTAACCTTAGGTTTGAGATCAGGCTTGTGATCAAGCTTCCAATCTCGGAGATAAGGAAACGATTGCGTACGACTCTGACCCAGAAGAGAAACGCAGCTCGGATCAGAGCGAAGGGAACGTTTCTCGGAGACGGTGGCCATTCCTGGGAACGGATAGTTATCATCGAACCACTGCGTAACGGAATCGTTGATTCCGCTTCGCCATTGGAGGAGGAAGGCAAAACAGGCTAAGGAAAGAGGAAGAAAGGTGATGAGTAACAAAATCCGAGAGGAAGCCGAATCTGATGAAGTTGGCTTTGAGGAGGAAGAGGAGTAGAGACCCGCCATGTGAGGATGGAGCAGGAATTGAATGTAGAGTTTGTGATTTTGAGGGAGACGATACTTTGAAACTGAAAGGAGTTTTTTTTTGCATTTAAAGGAGCCGTTTTTATCAGTTGTGATCTCTTCAAGCTTCGCGCTTATTTATTGAATAATGGATTATTACTTAAATGGAATTAATGGGGAGATTTGGTAATCTAATTTCGACTTTTGACTTCAAGTTATACTAATCCCTTATTTAATAAATACTAATATCTTTGACTCATTATGCTAAAGTTTCTTTATTTATTTAGGAGATTACCAAAAAATCCTTTTAAAAAACTTTAATAAAACGATACTATTTATTTTCAAAGTTGAATTCTGCTAGTTTTTTAAAACTCTAAGAGTGTCTTTTAAGTTGAGTCCGCTTGAACAAAAAAAAATTAAAAAAAATTGAGTCCAAAACTGAAGACGTAATTAGGCAATCCTTTGGTAACGCCGATTATTTTTGGTTTTTTCTACTGTTTTTTTTTTTTTGGGTTACATTTTCCACAAATAATGTTAAATATTCATTGGCTAGGATCAAACTTATGCTTAAGGACTTAATGCTTTACATAACACAAGTAGATCAACCTGCTTTATTACAGAAGTTTATAATGGCTCAAATCTCGACCTGCTAAGAGTTCTCTAACATTAGAGCTGATTTGAGATCATGAACTGCCATATAAATTCAGACACTTAGTACAGCTGAAATTCAAACACAATGGAAAAGATACGCAGAAATGAAAAAACTCATGGGGTTGAGCAGATCATCACCAAGGTAAGAGATTTCAGATTCGGGCAGCTCTTAAGAAAAGTTGGCAAACATGTAATTAAATTGAGGAAGTGGTTCTACTTTCTAGTATCGAGAGATGCACTGGAATCAGAAAGAAAAGAATGTGGGTCGTCAGAAACTTCCTTGATAGAAAATGTTCCATGTCAAATACCGGCATTAACACATATACCTTGAAAGTTAGTGCAGACTTTGTCATATCCCCAACCCTCAAAAATTCCACGGAGAAAACTGTGGATGAAGCATCTAACTTGCCAAATTGTTTATGATACAGCTTTTTTATTTGTGATCATGAATGGTCAACAACATCAATCCATGAAATGAGATAAGAGACATCATCGGCCCTTTAATAATATGTGTATTGGGCTGTGTTGGAAACACTCACGCTTATGTATTGTTCTTATGCTTGCAAAAATACATACCCTCAATTCTTTAACTTTTTGTGATTATCCCTGAGTTTCCTTTCTTATTTCAAATTTATATCCAACTTTTAAATGTAAATTAAATCAACCTTCAAGTAACATATTTTTATTTTTATACATAAATAGATCGGCGACTTGAGCTTCTTAGCCTATCCATTCAAGCTCCGACAATGTCTTCTACATTTTCATAAAACCCAAAAGTAAAAGATAAGTGCAATTTTCCAAGCTAAAGATCATAGAGGTCTCGAGTTCGAATCATCATCACAAGGACTCAACAAACTGAGGAACTTGAAGATCAAGTTGTTGCTTCATGACACAGTTCATTAACCATTCGCTGCTGAATGTCCAAACTCCTTTCTTTGCTGCAAATAATGCCCCCACTGTGTCTTCTTCGCACCCTATGTATATCGTTTTTGAAGCCACCTTTACCTTATTCACTCCACTTATCATCTGCAGTTTTCCCATAAATATTACAATGTTTTGGATTCAAATGTCAAACACGTGAAAGAATTGGTAAACTAATACTTACATTTCCACCAGCAGATTTGATGACCGCATATGAAGTTTTAATAGGCAACTCAATGTTAGGTCCAACGCATATGTCATATCCTTTTAGCAACGAGTTTGGTCTAGCTTTTGCTCTAAGCACTGAGCTTTTTAGATCAGTATCATATTTCAACTGGTAGTCTTCGTCCTGCAGTATGTGTGAAGCTTCATCTATTTGATTAAAAACCAAAAAATAGAGTCAGCATTAGAATTCAGGCAACTTGAGAATAAATAGAAAAAATCAAAAATGTTTGTCTCATCTTACTAGCAAATCTTCCTTCTCGGCAACTTTCTTTTAACCAACTTGGTGATACTATCCAAGCCCTGCAAGCAAGTATGATGGACCATAAACCGCGTCATTCCTATGATTTTACGCATAAGTTCACAATGGTTAATATGATGCCAGTGAATTTGAGACTAACCCAGAGCAAAGAGCAGTGCAGAGATTCAGAGTTTTCCTGACTTTTCCGGTGACAATATGTGTGCTCATTGTGCCATCCAAGGTCACAGCACCACCAAGTTTTCTTATTACCTGCACAGAATCAGAGGACAACATAAGGTGGATACAAAACACATTTAAGGACCAAATAACTCAGAAAGATTTATATACCTCTGTTAAACAAGCTTTCTTGTTTTCATCACAAATGTCCATCAACAAGATTCTATAGTGTTGTCCATTTGGACGAGCTTCCATGTTTATCCCAGTCGCCATTCTGCATTGTTCAACATCGTTTCTTTTGCAGATTGTGGGCAGGGAATCCTCGGTTATATCTACTTGGGAGGAATTATCGTCTTTCGATTGCTTTGCAGAGCTCTGAGCCAAATCTATTTTTGCTATGTCAGAGTTATTATTGTTGTTTGCCCTAATCCTTTTAGATTGTAGAGAGGACAATGAAGCTTCCCAAGATCTCTTTAAGCCTGGTGTTGAACATTTGGTCTCACTGTCAGCTGTGGTAGCTTGATCAGAGATCACGTTGTTGTTTTCCTTTCCTGTGATCGAGTCCATTGGACTTCTGATACCAGAGATACCTGTGTGCGGCACATTATAACAGAAACTTCAGAGAATTTTAAACATATTAAAATGCTTCATGATGTGGTATCTTCATCTATTTATAGCCACATTCTCTTAGGCTATTTGACGAAACAATTGAAACAAATAGTTTTAAACTTACAGTCAAGATATACGCTTTCACCAAAGCTCTCTCCAAGTTTAACTGAATCTCCAGTCACAGGACCTGTGCAATTATTTCTTGCTGAGAGTGGAGATCCTTCACACTGATATTTCCATGAAGAGGGACTCTCAATGTTTGCAGGATTAAGAGAAGATTCCTTTTTCAGATGAGAAAGCATGAGAGTTGAACCGCCCGGAAAACACAAGGCTTTTCGAATATTAGACTTGATGTGTAACCCCCTTGCTTTTCCTTTGTGGTCTACCTCCGCTAATTTTATAAATTCCTGGAAAATTCGTAAAGAGTTGTCAGAATAGCCAAGAACATCAGAAGATAGTTTAGTTTGAATTCAACAAACTATTATAAGATAAACTCCAAGAATGATAAACGTGATAATTATAATCACCTGTTTAAGCCAGAATCCTTCAGATTCTTTGTCTGCCCAACAATATATAGTTCGGATGCCAACACTATGAAGTCTCTTCATTAATTCTTCATAGACGAGTTTACCAAAACCCTGGAGATGCACTCATCTAATTAGTTTTTGATGAGGTTCCTAGCAAGCTATCTTTAGTAAAAGTATAAAACCAGTAGCAGAAAGAAGAAAAAAAAAGTTTCCAATTCTATGAAACACTTAAACAAAGTATACTATTAAACACAAAACCTTAGGTAAAGCATTGCACCATGCAGGAGTTTAGATGATGACTTACAACAATAAGTGTCAAAGAGTCAGAGCAAAACGAACCTTTTTCTGGTGTGTATATGTTACAGCAGCAAGAGGTATCTCAGCATACTGTGTATCAGCAGGGACTATTTGATATGAGATTGCAGCTAAGATCTACAAAAAGCACACACCAAATAATCAATTCAGATGCAACGGAGCAGAGGATCTAAAATGTGATTCATTGGCAGATTAAATAAAACAGATTCTTCCTGTTGAAACTAAACAGCAAATTCTTAAGTGCATAAAACTACACATATCGTTAAGATTCTTCCAGGGCCTTGGCTGCTTTTGATAAAGGACTTGCTTACTAGAGCAAATAACTAAAGCGTATTTAATTACCTCATCTGAGCCTCCACCAAGCGTGGACTTCAAAACCAAAGAACAGTACTTTCTGCAAGATAGTGAAATTTTAAACCAAAGCATTAGATAGCTTCCATATTAATCTCAAAATGGGCTCCATTCTCAATGATTTAAGTGAAAATTGGCGAAAAGAAGTGTCTATAATGGAAAGTCCAGCTTGAAACAAGTAAAGAATGGTTATGATAAAGAAAAAGATTTACCCTTTAAAAACACATCTCTCGAGAAATGCAGATTGCTTCCCAGTGTTTGAAGCATATTTCATGTCAGGTAACTCTTGGCTATATAACTTCAACACTTCCTGAATGAGTTAAGTTACTAGTACTTATGAGCAATATACTCCTTAAAGTAATGCCTTTTTCTCAAAAGAAATCGACAGTCAAGTGCTTTGGTAAGAGTCCACTTACTTGGAGATGAGATTTGGTAAACTCATCTTCATCCCGAGGATTAAGAAGAAGAAACATGTCTTCTTTCGGATAATCAGAAACGGTTTTATCCTTCTCTACACAAAACCAAAAAGAAACTAATTAAGAGATTATGCAAAAAAGTTGACAACTTTAACGTTTGCTACATATTTTGCTAGTAGCCGCATAACATTAAAAGATGAAAATGAATTATATAATCAATCATAGGGCCCAAAAATCCTCAAGAACCCAATTCTAGACGAACCTGAGATTTTCACTCTGTTGTTTCTGGAAAATTTGATGTGAATGCTCTTGGGTCCGGATTCACAGGTGAAATTCTTACCATCCACTGCGACCTCGTAATTACCTGGAGAAATCGAATCAAAACACTCGAAGATTCATTTAATTGATACGGGTATCTGAAAAAAAATCTAGGGCTTTCCAAGTTCTTACCGATAGGGTACAGAGAAGGCTGCATCGGCGATGCTCTCTTTGGCGCCATTGTAAATTTAGAGCGGGATTTCAAAACTTTTACTTTGCAGAAAAAAATAGAATGAAACGAAACGTCGAGTGTGTATAAATAAGTTTACTAAAGGGTATTAACGTAATTAATATAGGTGTCTTATCTTAAATGAAAATCTTTTAAAAAAGGAAACAACGTAAACGCTCTCTTCTATTCTATCCACCGCGCTGCGTTTTGGAGCGTTTCTGATCGGCTGACTAATCATTTTCTCGAATGTCAAATGGACGACTTGTGGAGTTAAAAACCAAAGCTTCAAGACGAGAGTTTTCGTATCAGACGAAAGTAAAGTTTCATTTTTGGAATGTCTTCGGTATCTCAATTCCAAGCTCGAAGATGAACTTGGTGTCGTCGGCAATGTCTGCAAGTGAAAACATGTGTGACGACTGACGACCTTTTGCATCTGTACATAAGAATGAATCGAAATGAGATGAAAATGGTATATATCAGGAAGGATCTAAGCATTAATGCCTCTTTGCGTGTATAATGAATAAAAACTGTTGCCTGATTAACAGAATTTGGTGCCATTATGATGTATGTAGTCGACATCCTTTTCTTAGCCACCAACCTTGTAGTCTTTAGAGAACTGATCATTTTCAGTAGCTGAGACGTGAAAAGCATCTATATTTGATCTTCTGCGATGGCTTTCTTTTCGTCTTAAAGCCACAGCAACATTGATGCAACTGCTTCTGATAAGACTTTGGTAATTGTATTGAATTGCTCATAGAGAGGTGGGAAATAAACTCTAGTTCTCATTTCTCTTCAGAGTTTACATTTTTTTTATGTTTTTACATTTTTGTGATAACAACAAGTTGAGAATGAACATCATAAAGGTACAAAGTTACAGATTTTTTTTGTGGAAGCAAATACTAAAAATTACAAAGGTACAGTGGTGGTGGCTAAAGATACAGGACCAAACTGCTCTGACTTCTGACTAGTTAACAACATACCAAACCCTCTCTTCTTCAGCGAGGCTGGTGGATGTTTCTTGGAGCAGCAACCCTCTGGTTTCCCCATTTTGCTGGCTTTTCCGCATACTTAGCCGGTTCCACAATCGATTTCGGACTCCTGTTTCCAGTTGATTTCCTAACCATCTCACCATTCTTTCCAAAGCCTGATGATAGACATAACTATACAATTAGTCTCCACATATCTGTTGATCATGGATTGTTTTGTGTATTGGGGAAATCAATCCGACTTACCGAATTCGGAAGGTGCTTGGTAATACATTCGTCCATCGAATCCTTGATCAAACTCAGTAGCATCAGTGTCAAAGAAATCTTCCATGTCATCAAAATCAAATGATTCTGGAAGAAGATCCGCTACATCGACCTGGCCTCCACCATTTTCATTCTCTCCGTTGTCATAGAAACCATCTGGACCTTGGTGCTGACTGATCCAATAGTCATGGTACCAAGTCGAAGTTGTGACCAATTGCCACCACTCCGGTGAGAAATCTTCCACTTGTCGTACAGCTGCCGGAACAAAGAGAGGTGCGTCGGGGTTTAGAGTAGATCGTCTTCCTGATACCATCGCCATTCTCAAATCTCTAGATCTGCACACACACAAAACAAACAAGTTCAGATCAAATTCAAATCTAACAACTCAAATCACAACATAGCTTAATCCTTGCACACATAGTTTCCAGATTACACAGTGAGATCAATAGATCTGTATATTTTCCGATCAGTAAACGCAGCAAAGACAAGTTTCCGATAGAGCACTTGAAGCTGGACAAGTACAAGTTTGAAATCGGGAGATCTGAAGATAAATCAAGTTTTTAGATAGATCAACGATCATCACAAAGATCTAACACCAGTAGATACAAAATCACTTCATTTCTAACCAATCAAATCCTTCAAAATCCACCAACTTCAAACATAGAAACTCATAGAAATTGATCGAGCAGAAGAAGAAGACAACATCAGATCTTTACCTTGGCTGAGGAAAATATCTGCTTCTACTTGCTCAAGTTGTTTGATAAAAATATGTCTTCTTCTTTTTAACAAGCAAAACGGATTAGGATCAATCACCAGAACCTACGTTGCCAGAAGATGAGAAGAAGAAGGACTAATATATAAAGTAAGGTTCGGTGACGAAGCTGAGGTTCGTAATGTCGAGGCAAGATTAAAGGTGAGACACAAGTGGGTAGGACTGGACCCATAGCTAACATGGTTTTGAGTAATCAACCGTCCACGTGTAGACGCGTTACTGTTGGCTTTTATTGACTTTCATTTTCGTTCCAATCCTGTTGGCTACTCACACTAAAAAGTAAAGTAAAGTATTATTCTCGCTATAAAATATCTTATATTTGGTCGGAAGAGGATAAGGTAGGAAAACTAATCCAATATAAGCCCATTAATGACCTTATGGGCCTAACCCACTCATGATCTGTTTTACATCAAAAAAGGTACTTGTCAGATTATGCTTTTACTATCCAGTTTGCTTATCTTCTTGCTAAATACATCTCAATTGTCATTATCATAACATGACTGATAAGATATATACTGTATGAGCTAAATAGTTTCCAGTATCGTATCGTGTAAAAGTACCAAAAGTAGATCCTAGCATTTACCTAACGCCTGAGCTGTGCATTTTTGCAGGACATCAAATTTGAGAAGCTAATCAAAGACAAATGTAGAACCAAATTCTAAGGTAATCTATACAAGGAAACCAAGCTCCTTAAGCTGTAGAACAACCAGGATTATCGAAATGATCATTGATCTTTGTTGGCGTAGTTTTCATCTTCGTTGTTTTATAGCAAAACGGATTAACAGATCATCTTTTCTTTTATTCATTAACCACTTACGGTCAGTTCTAATTAGCAGAGGCAAAGCTAGTAGATGAAGTAGGTCAGAGATAAGGACAAATCATTGGCGGGATGGAAAATGTTGTAGTGAAGTCCAGGGCTCCAGGCCATTGCAACTTTCACATTGTGAATCAACAGGGAGACTAAAAGACTAAAAGTGTTCCTGGTTTTGTTTCTGATCTAAAGTTTCTTTGAGTTGGATTTGAACGTGGTGACATCTTGATGCTGACTTTTAGATGCTTGTAAACATTGAAAAACATGAGCACCCTTTAAAGCTCGGGCTAGGAATAGTCTACTTTCCCATGTAAGTTCGTCGGTTCCTGATTGGCTCTTCCTAGCGAAGAGTCTCTTTCCGATATCTTATTAGAAATGGTGTTTGAGGGAAAAAAAAAAAAAAAACATAACATGAGCACCCTTTTTAAAAGATTGGAACACAATACGAAAATATTTTTGGTAGTATGTATGTACATGTATCTTCTCTTTTTTTTTTAGTATAGATTGGTAGTAGGTAAGTGGGGTATATATAATGTAGACAATTACATTGTCTATTATGTGTACATCTAAATTATCATGACATTATCTATAAGTCCAAAATACTCCATAAGACAAAATAAAATTTGATTTTTTCAAAGAAGTAAGATACAAAAATAGATTCAGCATCACTACTTCACTAGATTTCATATAAAACACTAGAAAATAACAGGATAAACAACCAATCAGTTATCTTTGTTGTCCAATTAATTAAGTTTTATGAATTAGTATTAAAAAAAAAAAACAGAACAATTGTATCTTGATTTTTCCAATTCATCTATATTATAATTACCAATTTCGACGAAAAATAAAAAAAAACAGAAATAATAATATCCCTCCTGCAAAAGGCAGAAACCGCGTGAATCTTGTTTTAATTTAACATTTTTTTTATTGGTAGTTTCATAATTTAATTTGCATTCATCGTTATTGAACGCTAAGGTTATGGATAGAAACAAAAAGAATAATAACTGCAAAACGCGTTTTACTTAAAACACTCTCCTCTTTTCCTTTTTCTTCTCTTTCTCTATCGCTCTATAAAACTTTCCTTCACTTTTCTTCTGGATCTAAGGTTCGTGATCTCCTTCCTCTCTACGAAGTTTACGCTTTTCTTCAAAGGAGATCAAGAACAATGAGCCAGTACAATCAACCTCCTGTCGGTGTTCCTCCTCCTCAAGGTCCTCTTTCTTCTAATTTCGATTTTGGAAGTTTCGGTTGCTAGAATTGTAATTTTCTTAGATCTGCTTAATTTTTGGTTTTCTACGATGGATCTGATTTTTTTTTTTGGTGCTGATTTGTATCAATAGGTTATCCACCGGAGGGATATCCAAAAGATGCTTATCCACCACAAGGATATCCTCCTCAGGGATATCCTCAGCAAGGCTATCCACCTCAGGGATATCCTCAACAAGGTTATCCTCCTCCGTACGCGCCGCAATATCCTCCGCCGCCGCAGCATCAGCAACAACAGAACAGTCCTGGGTTTCTAGAAGGATGGTTAGTCAATAAACCACACTCTCCATTAAATTAATCTGTTTTTATAGTTTGAAGTTTGACTATATTCCGTATCTGAATATTCAGCTACAGATTCTTAGAAAAAAGTCATGTGGTTTTACCTTTTTGCTAGAATATTCCTCTGTAGAGCTTGACTTTTGTGTGTTCTTATTATAATTTCTTGTTCCTAAATAAAGATGGATCCTTTTTGTGTTCTCTGTTCGTTCACTGATCACAGGATAATTTTCTTAAAGCAACTGAATAGTCTGGATCTGTGATTGTGCTCTTGTTGTTATTGGTTTGGGAGTGTTTATTAGTACTGATTGAGAAATGTGAAAACTGTTTTTGTTTTTGCAGTCTTGCTGCTTTGTGCTGTTGCTGTCTCTTGGATGCTTGCTTCTGATTGGAGTCTCTCTCTCTCTGCATAAAGCTTCGGGATTTATTTGTAAGAGGGTTTTGGTTAAACAAAAACCTTAATTGATTAGTGGGCATTAAAAATGAATCTCTCGATGATTCTCTTTCGTTTTATGCTTTATGTTCTTCGGTTCACATTAACTATTGTCTATCGATGTTCTGGCTTAGTTTGGATTTGATTATGGGAATGTAAATTGGTGGGTGGACACTATTCTATGCCGTAGTTTATTGCTTTCTTTTTAGTCTCTCTGCCTTCATAGTTCATATGATCGTATCCCAATGATTTTGGTTTCGTCCATATATCATTGATTATTTCATTTGACAACTATTATAAAATAATAAACGTCATTGAAAGAAATAAATTCGTTTCTCGTGGAATTTTCACTAAATGTATGGTCTCTGTTCCACATGGGTTGGTTCCATTATTGCTGTTAGGTAATGGTTTTAATCAGAGAGAATAAAGATTAGTATGAAAATAATATCGCAACTGTTATCAGGGGGGATAAAGATTAGTATTAAAAGTTATTGCAGCTAGTACACAAATGTGTATAAAATATAAGTTGTCTAAAATCATGTTTCTGCTCATTCTATTACAAACATAAAAATATCAGATCACAAAAAAAGTCTATTTAAAAAATCCAAACACAACATAACATCAAACAGTTGAGACCAAAAATGGCCTAACTGGTGAAGTCACAATTATGAGAGGAAGACTCAAGAAACGAAGAAGCATCAGGCGACCCACACCGCTTTGTTTCACCGTTGACATAAAGAATCAAACCACTTTGGTTCTTTACTTCGACAACAATCGCCTTCTCTTTCTTAAACCCACATGTCGTCGACACTGATTGAACACAAGGTTTAGTCTTGTCGACTACTCGACTTGGCTTTGGATAATAGAAATCCGTTGGGAAAAAATTGAACTGAAGAAGACCCGACATCGTAGTTTGCAAATCAAATCGATACTCAACAACTTTGTGAACGAGTGTGAATAGAAATATTTCTCTTGTGTTTATGTTCCTTTTATTGCTTAAAATATAGGAAGAAAAGGATTCAGAGTGATTTTGGACATTGAAGTTTCCTTGGGCTCGACGAATTTTGCTTGAGGAAAAAGTCTAGATTGGTTAGGGTTTGACAGGTCTTCTTTAATCTGTCTTTGACGCTTTGACATTAAAACTCATCTAGAAACAACTAGAAGAAAAAAGCAACTTTGATTTCCAATTGTTACTTTACTTATGGAAATTGTTTCCATATGAATTCACTCGCCTTTTCAAAAAATTTCTTTTTTAAATATGAACTACCTTTATTGAAAAATTTCACATATTATGTCACCATCATCAGATTTCCAATTTACAACAACAACAACAAAAAGAGTAAAAAGACTGATTTGAAGATGACTATGCTGTTAATGGCTATCTGTTATGGTGCTAATTAAGTTAAGATTGCTGGGATACTGAATTTTGGGAACGACGTTGAGGTTGGTAATGAAGTTGTATTTGTGACCACTAACGTCTAACGATGTGCTCTGTTTAGTGTTTTTATCCTTTTGGGGCATGTCTTTGGTTTTTGCATTTGTTTGGCAACGAGTATAAAACTACTACTAATTACAAAAATTGGGTTCAAGTCACATAACAATTGTGCGAGAGCGAGCGTCTTGAGGAGGAATTGTTGCAATGGACGGTTACTTTGTTAACAAGTTATATACCTTAGGAACTGTTTTGATGTTGTTGCAACTTGTAACTTGCTACTGAATCTTTTGATGTTCATAGATCTGAATCATTAAAGTCATGATGATCACAAGATAGTTGTTTAGTTAGAATCTTGAAGTAAGAGGTGCTCTGTTGACAATGTTTAATATCTAGCTTGCAAAATGTTTAAACTACTATAAAGAAGTTCAACATATTAACCGAAATAGTTGGAAATCTCAAAGAGCGTGATCGAAAAAAGATTTATGGAATATATTATCTTTAAATACTGTATCACCTAATTTAAGCCTCTCTATTTCCTATATATAGAGAGAGATTAAGCTTTGGATGTTACACCAACTCAGAAAGATAAGTAAGAAGCACAAATTCATTCAAACCATGAAATCATCACATGCATCTCTCATCTGCATACTGTTGCTCTCTCTATTTGCTCTACATCAATGTATGTACAAGTTGTCTCATATATATAATATAAACCAAATATCTATTTATTTTAGAGTCATCAAAGTTGGGTTGATGTGTGTTTCAAATTAATGTGTAGGTGTGAGGTTACAAAGATCGAACAAAATCGATATGTCTGTATGCGTCCATGACATTTGCGGCGGTGTTTTCGACGGAGGCTGTTATTGCTGTCCCAAAACGCCAGCTCTTTGCTGGGCAGACAACCAATTCTGCACCACCTATTGTCACGCTCAAAGTTAAAACCTTTTAAATAAACTGATCTGGAGCTAGTTGTCCCATTTCAAATCTATAGCTACCCCTATTGTCATTTATGTTTGCATCTCTTTGGCAACGAGAATAAGAGTATATACTCCTAATTTAACATCGCCCCCTTCTTGAGGTTTAAAGATCTTGTGAAAGGATGTTGAGGTGTAGTCATTAATTATGTGTTTCCTTAGTTTACAAGTAATATACCATAATATTTGTTGTGATGTTTTCTATTTTATAATCGGGGAATCTCATAAATTCAGACTTATTGAGGTTTGAGACATGTGATAAGCTCTTGCCATTTAAAACGTCCAGTTGCCTACTATACTATGATTCAAATCGTAGTACAAAGAGTCGAAACTCTAGTCTCCAATCCCAGGCTGATCTTTCATCCACTAGATCATATAGCTTGATCCCTATCTAAGAAAAATGCACGCATAAATAAAAAACGATCCCTATATCTAAGAAAAATGCAGGCATAAATCAAAAACGTTTTGACGTTGTTTCAACTAACTCTTACTATTCTAATGCCTGATGAATATGAATCACCAAATATGCATAATGTTTTTTTATCTTTGAAATCTCGCACAATTCTCGGAGATGGAAGAGAATCCAAAACTGCAACATCGATGAAGCAATCACTTAAATTTTCCAGGGGACAAGAGAGTTGTTTAGTCAGAAGACAGAAGCTTAAAGTAAACGTTTCAATTTGAACAAAGGCCTAGCTTGCAAAAAAGTTACACTAGAGAGTAGAGACTAGAGATATAAAGGGACTACGGAGTTTCATAAGACGCACTACTTGGCCACTTGGGCCGTTAATGCCACATTACTACATTTTTTTTTCCCGACCATAACATACATTTAGCCTTAGATAAATTTGTTCAAACACTGAGAAGGCAACAAAACAAAAACTTCATAGATTTGCCTCGTAATTCTAGAATGATAACTGCAAAATTTTATAATATCTTCGAATGTCAAAGATAAAGTTATAAACTATTCGGCTGTATCAAATTTTGTTATCAGTTCTACACACAAATCATTTTTTAAGAACAAAGACGGCCCAAGTACTGCGTCTTACGTTCTGTAGATATTTTTCTATTTTTTTATAGCCGAAACTGTTGAAATTTTTTTTGCTAATGCTTTCAAAACTTTTAGTTCATATATCCTTTAACGGAAAAAGAACACACAACGTGTTTGGCCACGCCGAGGTTTAGCACTAAAAAAGGCTCATGCAAAATGTTGAGAAATTTACACCATAGGCTTTTTTGAAAATATTGGTTTTTTTAAATTGACTACTCAAAAGAAAACCACAATTTTCTTACTGATATGCCATCGCGTGTCACGAAAAAGAGATTGAACCAAACTTTACGCTAAGTACAAATTAAACCATAATAAAATAAAACCATCATCGAAATTCCGCAACGATTAAAATAAAAATAAAAAGAAAATTAGGTTCATGAGTCTTGACTAGACGACCACTGCACCTGCAATTCTGTGACGATGTCAGAACCATAGTTATGAATCTAATCCAAAAAAAAAAAAAACACAAAACAAAATCCAATGTAGTAATCAGACAATTACATTTTTGTTTCTTTACTCAACTATTCATCCCACCGGTTTTGAAAAATCAACTTAAAAACCACTATATCATTTTGATATATTTGTTTCCTACCCGATAGATACGTTCAAACTATTTAAAAAACGGCAAATGTATGACAAAATAAAAACGGAAATACATATATTTTTAAAAAGGAAATGAATTGGATACATAGTCGTCCTAAAAGTAATCTAACTAATCAAAGAAAATAATAAAATTCCATTTAAAATAAAATAAAATAAAAGAAGAATGAAAAATGAATGAATGATAGTGTTAAGGTATAAGTATCAAAAAAACACCAAACCACTTCTCTCCTAAGGAAGCTTCGTGGAAGCTGCCATGGCTTCTCTCTTTCTCTCCCCATTTAATACCCTCCTTCCTCGTTCTTTCCTCTCAACAAGAAGAAGAATCAATACTCAAATCTCTATCATCTCTCTTTATCTTTATCTTCTCCGATATGAAGCTCGCCGCTAGCCTCAACCGCCTCAGCCCCAAACGTCTCTTTCGTTCCAAATCAAAAGCTTCCGTCTCCAGATCTGAGCCTTCTTCCTTCAGCTCCAATGCTTCTTCCTCTTCCTCCGATGGATCGTACGGTAACCTCAAACAAGGTCCAACCGCGACTCCGATCAGTGTTCTCCCTCAAAACTCCGGCGATTTCTACGCTGAGCTTATTCAAGCGTTTAAACTGATCGATCGTGATGACGACGGTGTTGTTTCCAGAGGAGATCTCGCGGCGTTGATTAGCAGGTTAAGTCCTGAACCACCGAGTCAAGAAGAGGTGAGTCTGATGCTAAGAGAAGTAGACGGCGGAGACGGTGGTTGTATCAGCCTTGAAGAGCTTGCTAGCCGTGTCGCTGGTACTTCCGGTGAAGGATCTGTTGAGACGGAGGAGCTGAGAGAGGTGTTCGAGATTTTTGACGTGGATCGTAACGGGAAAATATCGGCGGAGGAGTTACACAGAGTATTTGGAGTGATTGGAGATGAACGGTGCACGTTAGAAGAGTGTATGCGTATGATAGCGACGGTTGATGGAAACGGTGACGGTTTTGTTTGCTTCGAAGACTTTTGCCGCATGATGGCTCCAGTGATGAATGATCATCATCATTAGAATCATGTTTGATTGATGATGGTGACATCACCATGCTCTTTGTCTTCTTTTTTTTTCTATTGAAAAATTATTTATTTTACTGTTTTTGCGGTGGTGATTTCACTTATTGTGACGGCAAGCACTTAAATTGTTCACCGTCGGTTTAAATTCAGACGTCTCTCTTTCTCTAAAGTTATATAGTACTAGTAATATGAACATGTTTCTAGTTTCACTCTCTCGTTGGTTAAAAACAAACTAGTTTCCTCGAAAAGTATATTAACCTATGGTTGAAAAATGCAACTTTAGCTTTTATCCTACCTACCAAACATGTTAGTATTATCTTAGCTATATATTTTTTTATTTTTCTGAAAACGTCTTTAAAAATCTAACATTAGTGAATCCATTTTGGAGAGTTTGTTTTAAATTGTTGAATTAACTTGTTTATATATCCAAAACATATAAAATTTTTTTGAAAAACCAAATTTCCTTTAACTTACAAATGCGTGAATGGAGGCTAGAAATGAGCTAACATTTAGGTGAGAAGGAGAAAGACTCGATCTCGGCTAAATCACTTGAAAGATCCTTACCTCCCAAATCTACCGATTAGCTCTCTAATCCTTAATCATCTCAATCCAATAACAATCCTCGAGATGGAGATAATTAAGGATTAAACTACTATGATTACATCATATATGTTGGTCGACGTTCTAATTAGATTTTTTTCTTTTTATTTTGGTCAACCAATCTAACTTCATGCATCTAATCAAAGAATTTATTTTTACATGTTCTAACGATGTTTGATTGGTCTACATTTAGGTACAAAATTCAGATTAAAAAGAAAGAAAAATAATGGAACATTTTGGAATGACTATGTCCACAAACATCGTCAAGAGTAAGTGCGCCAACCAACTGTACTCCACTCGACCAGTGGCCTAGGGAGTTATGGACCCTCCCCATCTCCAATGTGGCAATGTTTCTTTCTCTTTTTTTCTTTTGGTAAAATATATCTATTAATCTTTTACAAGTAATTATTTACTCTAAATCCTATTGATTCCGCCGAATTCCAAATTGGAAGAAAACGAAAGATACATGCACCACAACAAACGCCGAGTCTTGCTCGAATCCTAACCACACACATACGTGTAGAATGATCGGACCACCACAAGATTTGTTTATTAGTTGGTTAGTAAATAGACTTTTATCAATGCATTAAATTTATATGACGCAACGCGTTGATGCATGATTGCTGCTAAAGAATCAAAATCCTGCCGGGAGTATAAATGCTTTCTAAGAATTTTTTATGTTACGGACGACAGAAATAATTTGAAAGTATAGTTTGATTCTTATAATGAAGTTTTTATGAGATTCTGTTGATTTTAATAAGGTATACTTCACATGGCACTCTTAACTTAGTCAGCGAATGGTACTTCACATGGAAAGAGATTAACCCTCGATCGGTAAAATGTTTCAATTTCGAATACTTTATACATACTCTTGTTTCAGTTTTATATTTAGTTTCAAACAAGATGACATGGTAATTTAGGTTTTTTTTACACCTCAATTATTGTGGTGTTTTTGGATATGTCGACAGTCGACAGGCGACATTAGAAATGACTTTTCATATAGATACAAGTTTGAAAGTTCTTGGGATGCTTCCTCGTCTGCACACGCATATATACACACATTTGTATACATGGCCGCTTGTGATATCTTCCAAATTATACGAACTGTGAACGTTTTGGCATTTTGTTGGACAGTAAAAGTCACGAAACATCAGCAAAATGATGATAGGTATGTTCCTTTCATTGTTGTTGCCTAATTGGTATCAACCAAAACAACAGTAATCAAAATGTTATATGTGCTGTCTTTGGGCCTGTTGGGCCCATTCGTAAAAGTAAAACCTATACAAATCTCCGTGCCACTCAACAAAACCTAGGGGTTTTTCTTTATGCACCATGGACAAGCCGGCGAGCAGCAAAGTAATAATGGATAAGGAGCAACCGCTTTGGTTCGTTGAAAACAAGCGGAAGCAGGATTCCCGTAAGGACTCTCATCCTCCCTATGAAACCGAATCCTATCTCGAGGTCTCAATGGACAAGACGGAGAGCAGCAAAGCAATCATGAGTAAGGAGGATTGCTTACTCGGCTCCAACGATATTATTTCTGCGTTTATTGCTTCTCAGGATAAGATGATGGCTGAGCAGGATTCAGCCGCTGGAGATGGGAGCACCCGAGTACTTAAGTCTTGGGCTTTGATTGGGCCTATCAGATTGAAGAATGAAAAACCTTTTCTGATGTAGACGTATCTTATTTACATTATTGCCATCATCTCTTTTTATATAGATTTAATAATTAGATCCACGTTAAAGCTGGAACTACGTACAAAACAATGAAACATGAACATGGCACGGGTCTCTTAACGTCGACTTTCTCCTTAGCTGTCTGATACGCCGAAGATGACCTCAGATAAGTCATATACTCTTCATACACCATTTCTTTCTCCGGCACAAACCTAACCGGATAACTTTGACTCTCCGTTGACTCATCATCATCCACATTCCACCTTCTCGAACGGGAACTCAATTCCTCTGTACCCATCCTCCACAAGCCGTCTCGCTTTATCCCAAAACGGGCCAACTTTCTCCTCGTAAACCCGTTGGAAAACCTTGTGCACGGCGGCGTTGACCTCCGGATTGGTGTAGCACCAGGCAGCGATTACTCCGTTGGGTTTCTTGAGCACGTGTTTTACGTTGCTGTAAAAGGTCGTGAGGTTGAACCAGTGAAGGGCTTCTGCGACGGTGACTAAATCGACTGATGATTCTGGCGCCACTAGCTGCTCGATGTCATTCCGAAAGTGACTAAATTGTTTTTGCTGGATTACTTTATATTTTCTATTAAATTAATAGATATTATTATTTGTCAACAGCTTACAACATTTTTTTCCCAGTTGATTGTTTTCAGGTTAGTCCAAAAATTTAAATTTTCAGAAAGTATAAACCCTTTGACTTTTCCTACTAGTAAGCTGAACTATAAACTGCTGAAGTACCATCGTTTGATTACGTTTACGACAGGAGCTGCTTAATTATATAAGCTTTTGTGGAGCATATTACATATATAATAGTAGATTACCATACATTAAATCACACTATACATATATATATATATATATATATATATATATATATATATATATATATACATACACACTTTAAAGCAGCGACGATCGCATCATACATCCTTGTCAAGAAGACACCGATGGCATAGTTAGCGATAAACTTTAACTAGAGCTGAGAAATGTTGTGGCGGCATAGGTAGCGATAACAATGAGATTCTGGAGGCTAATGCTAACCAGATCATTAACGGAGGCTCTGAGTACGCCGCCCGGTGGATAGATAAAGCATGAGTTAGTAGGAAGATTTGCTTTGATTTCGCACTTACTTGGATTAACCAAAGGCGTATAGGCGGGGTTGATCACAAGGGTAAATACACCGACGGCATTGGTCACTGCTTGAGCGAGGGTTGAGTTTGAGCCTGGACATTCAATGTAGACTGTGGCATTAGAGACAGGTGGTGCGCTTGGATCTCCGTCAAGGCTACAATACACGACACCACGTATGCTGACTCGGTCGATTCCGTAGCCCCAGAGTGTAAAGCTATGGGATATGGAGAAGAGTGAAGCCATGAGAAGTATGGAGAGGAGGAAAACATTTGATTTTTTCATATATATTTTTTTTGGTATCTGTTTTGATTTGGTTTAAAAAATGTTTTGACTGTAGGTGTAGTGTGGCAAATAAAGCGTAAAGGGAGATGTATTTATATGGGTATGTATGTGATATTTGATTTGATAATCGGATAAATCATGGATTGACAAAATTAATTCCAAAATCCGATGATAGTTGTGTTTGCTTGCCATTTTAAACGCTTATCATATACAAGAAAAATCCAACAGTATACGTAATAATATTACGGGTTGCATTTACTTTTTAGTTTAACTTCTCGTTTAGTTTAAGTTTATGTTTTAGTTAAGTTGAAGTTTTACATACTTTCAAGCCACATGCATATCCCTTTTAGGAAGTGTACGTTTACTGAAAGTAATGTATTTAATTGTGTTCCTTACTTGCACGAGGAGACATGTAGTATGATTCACAAGAAAAAGCTTTGAATGCATGAAAATGCTCCAAGGAAAAGGAAATAGAAATATGTATTTGTTTTAGAAGTGTTTCCTTTTATCATATTTGAAGACTTGAAGTTGTAGTTAATGTGAATGTGTTCTAGTGAAAAAAAAAAAAAGATGGTGTAGCTCAGTAGCTAGTGTACGTGCGGGTATCTCTAAAGGTTATAAAGTTTTTAATTAGGCGATGCCAATGCCTTAGTACATTTTTGCTAAAAAATGCCTTCATACATACTGTACAGGCAAATAGATGAGGGTAAATTAATTTTGACTTGGTTTTCGATCATCTCTTTAACTTTCGTGGGCATATTTTCTTTTAAATAGATGGTGACACCACTTTCTTATAGTTTTGGTTTCAGAACCGTGATTTAAGTTTAATGATCTTCCGGTGATCAGGTCTACAGCCTAATTACATTTGTTTATAAATTCACTTAATAATTTAACTCATCAAAACTTAACTGAATTATTTAATGACAGTGGTGTGGTTGGTCTGTTTGAGCACAATGTTGATGCAAGTTTTTGATAGTAAATGTAAATGCACAATGTTGATGCAAGTTTTTGATAGTTTCAACATGATAACATGAAACATAACATCAATTCTTTCATGGAGAGTTAAACAGCTTAAATCATGATCACATCTTCATGGATAGTTTCAACAAGATCACATCTTTCTTACCTCTCTCATCTCTCGGAGAAAGAAGATTTTTATGAATGGGAAATTGAAGGTAATTTAGAAGTCGGTAATCCACGGGTCTTGTTTACAACACTCTCTGCCCTTAGAGCATTTCCAATGGTAGATATCTATAGAGTGTCTCACTAATATAATATTAATATTTTTATGTTTAATTTATTTAGAAAAATTCACACTAAAATTCTACTTCCATTGGTGAGATATCTCTATGGGTGTCTCATCAATATAATATTTATATTTTTATATTAAATTTAATTTTTCAATGATATTTTAAAACATATCAAATTATATCTTAAATATAGTCATTCAAACTAAATAATTATATTTATTTATAGAATTAAATAATATAATGAATATTAATAATTTTAAAAACATTAATTAATAGTACTATTGTAAATAATATATTAAAGAGACTATTATTTTTAAAAGCACAATTAAACATAAATTGAACTTTAAACAACATATAAATGCTTTGAAGTCGACTGCAGGTTTTAGTTCGACTTTATTGCAAGTTTTGTAATAGCAATTTTGATATAATGTGTAAAATGATAAGTGTTATTGAATTGAGAGCAGTTAAACAACAGAAAATTCAAGAAAACTAAAACCAAAAACCAAAAAGGACAGTCTTGTACAGAAAATTATAATAAAAAATATTGTAATAAAAAATTTATATTAAATTTTAAACATATCATTTAATTATATTAGAAATTTTGTAAAACAATATGATTAAAATTATATTAGACATTTTGTAAATAATGACAGAAGATAACACATTATTTATCAAAATATCAAAATGTTGACAAAATATCAGATTATTCATCTTAGATTTATTTTCTAATATTATAGTATTTTATTAACTAAAATTATTAATTTATATTTATATTAACCTTAACTAATATCAATTAAAAATAATATTAATATATAGTCATCAGTTTAAACTTTTGTATAATGGAACTTGATATATAGATAATTTTATTTTATGAATTGTAGAAAAATAAAACTAAAAAATAATAACTTATAAACTATTTAATTGATATTATAAATCTTAGAGTAATTGAATTTAAAAAGAAACTGTTAGACCAATATAAGATTGACATGTGTATGAAAAAGAAGGTTTCTCAAATGAGAAACGTGTCTCAGCTTTTTTAATTAAAATATCATTTTTTATTGATTTTTGATTTGTTTTTAATATGGATGTTTCTATGAAACATCACTGATAGAAGTGCTCTTACGTGCCATCTACAACCCATCCGATGGCAAAAATCTGATATCGGCTTCGTTTATGATCCAAATTACTGTGCTGGTTTGTAATGGGTTTGTCTCTTTTCATTTAGGCTTCGGCCATAAAAAAAAAACTAAAGTCTGGGCTGGGCTTTTGTAATTTTTACTTCTTTCCTTTAAATAACAAAACCAGTTTAAAAAAAAAAAAAAAAACATAACATTAACTGTTACTGACTTTGCTTTTTGCTAAACGTTACTGACTTTGTTTAGTAAACGATATTTGTGTGTATTTTTTGAGTAGTATTTTGCAAATTTAAAGAAATTTTGGTTTTTAAACTTTGAATAAAATAGGAGTTTTTTTGGTAAATTTTGAAAGTTAAGCTTTTAATTTATCTCTTTTTTTTTTGAATTTAATGTTAAATTATATTCAAAAGAAAAATAAACATTTTCTACAACGTAATGCGATGCAATTCGAATCATTTTTAAGACATTAAAAAAAACAACAAAGTCTTCTCTAGATCCTTGATGCAAACCAAGTTTGGAGTCCGCTTGAGGCTCCTCTCCCTTCCATTGTGCTCAACCGATTACGTTTTTTATCTCTACAAGTTCATGCATGTTTTTCTATTACAGATCGATTTTATAGAGTATCTTGCTTATTCATTTAATTTCGAAACTAAATAAAATATACTTTTATTATTCTTTTATCTACGATTTTTAAAAAAAAAATATTTTTGCTGGATTACTTTATATTTTATTTTAATTTAATAGATATTATTATTTGTCAACAGCTAAAAACATTTTTTTCCAGTTGATTGTTTTTTCAGGTTAGTCCAACAATTTAAATTTTCAGAAAGTATAAACCCTTTGATTTTTCCAACTACTAAGCTGTCTAAAAGCTACCGAAGTACCATCATTTATTACGTTTATCAAAATCCATTAGTATATATAGTTAGAACATACTATTTGATATGATTTATTTGGTTTCTGGTATAATAATAAAAGATAGTAATAAGTAGTAAGAGAATTATTAATAATAAAATACAGATCCAGATTTTACTATTAGTATCCTTTTAGTTTACATAAAGATGACAATCCTACCCAAAAAAAAATTTACATAAAGATGACAAAGACGGAGCTGCTTATATATAAGCTTTTGTGGAGCATATGCATCACTTATTTCTCCCTATATATAAAATAGTAGAAGACCATACATTAAATCACACTATACATATATATATATTGCTGCATCAATATATATACATACAAAAACTTTAAAGCAGCAACGATCGCATCATACATCATTGTCGAGAAGACACCGATTGCATATTTAGCGATAAACATTAACTAGGGCTGAGAAATGTTGTGGCATCATAGGTAGCGATGCAAATGGGATACTGGAGGGTGATGCTAACCAGATCATTAACTGAGGCCATGAGTCCGCCGCCTGGTGGGTAGATAAAGCATGTGCTAGTCGGAAGATTTGCTTTGATTTCACACTTATTTGGATTAACCAAACTCGTATTGGCGGGGTTGATTACAAGGGTAAATACACCGACCGGATTGGTCACTGCTTAAGCGAGGGTTGAGTTTGAGCCTGGACATTCAATGTAGACTGTGGCATTAGAGACAGGTGGTGCGCTTGGATCTCCGTCAAGGCTACAATACACGACACCACGAATGCTGACTCGGTCGATTGTGTAACCCCAAAGTGTAAAGCTGTGGGATATGGAGAAGAGTGAAGCCATGAGAAGTATGGAGAGGAAGAAAACGTTTGATTTTTTCATTTTTTCATTTTTTTTGGTTATCTGTTTTGATTTGGTTTTAAAAGTGTTTTAACTGTAGATGTTGTGTGGCAAATAAAGCGTAAGGGGAGGGGTATTTATATGGGGGTATGTATGAAAGATATTTGATGTGATAATCAGAGAAATCATGGATTGACAAAATTAATTCCAAAATCCGATGATAGTTGTGTTTGCTTGCCATTTTAAACACTTATCGTATACAAGAAAAATCCAACAGTTAGGGATACGTAATAATATTACGGGTTGCATTTACTTTTTAGATTAACTTCACCCTTTAGTTTAAGTTGAAGTTTTACATACTTTCAAGCCACATGCATATCCCTTTTAGGAAGTGTACGTTTACTGAAAGTAATGTATTTAATTGTGTTCCTTACTTGCACGAGGAGACATGTAGTATGATTCACAAGAAAAAGCTTTGAATGCATGAAAAATGCTCCAAGGAAAAGGAAATAGAAATATCAAATATGTATTTGTTTTGAAAGTGTTTCTTTTTATCAGATTTGAAGGTGTAGTTAATGTGAATGTGTTATAGAGAAACAAGAAAAGATAGTGTAGGTCAGTAGCTAGTGTACGTGCGGGTATCTGTAAGGGTTATAAAGTTTTTAATTAGGCGATGCCAATGCCTTGATACAGTTTTGCTAAAAAATGCCTTCATACATACACGCAAATAGATGAGGGTAAATTAAATTTGACTTGGTTTTCGACCATTTCTTTCACTTTCATGGGAATGTTTTTTTAAAAAGATTTAGCATAGGATGTTTGAAAGTTCTTGGGATGCTTCCTATTCTGCACTAGCATATATATACACATGTACAATTGTCTACATGGCCGCTTGTAATAACATCCAAATTATGCGAACTGTGAACGCTTTGGCATTTTGTTGGACAGAAATAGCCACCAAACATCATCAAAATGATTGTAGGTATCCTTTCAAAATACTGGAAGAAGTCGGATTTTGATCCATATATAAACTCGATCGTAAAAAAAGAGTCAGTAAACTTATAACTATTTTCCATAGTAAATGGATAAACGACAAAGTATGAAAATAAGTGTGTTCGCGCGTGGGGTAAGAGAGAAAGAGGACAAAAATCGTGTGTGGTGTGGTTTAGCGAAAGATTAGATCCCCAGGAAAGCTGGGAACTACAAAACAATGAAACATGAACACGTGTCTCTCTTTACGTCGACTTCTGTCATCATCGTGGTCCCATTTCTTATCTAACACGACCCACGTTTATTTTATAGTACATCGGAAAAAATCAAAACTACTAAACTAGCGTCTTTCTGGGTGTGACCGACCGACCACAAGGTGTTCGTCGAAAGGCCTAACTGAAATATATCAACTTATTATTCAAACACGATCTTCTCATTTCCAGAACCGTTGTCTGGGTTTAACATCGAATCCGATCCCGATGGACGACGATATGGCGAGCAGCAAAGTAATCATGAATAGGGAGGAGCTGCTTTTGTTCGTTGAAAACAAGCGGAAGGAGGATACCCGTAGGGATTGCGCTCTCGCCCTCACGGAGCTTGTAGAATCATTTGTTGCTGCTAATAAGGAGTCGTTTGTCCAACTTATTAAAAAAAAAAAGATGTCTGATTCGGCCTCCCGAGACGGGACCACTCCGAGTATCCAAGTCTTGGGCTTTGATTGGACCTATCAGATTCAAGAATGAAACCCTTTCTGATCTAGAGGTATCTTGTTTACATTATTATTGCATGAGAGATTATCAAATCAATAATAATGCCACCAGTGATCCCTTTCTCAACACTTTGCTTCTTGAAAATAACGTGCCTATTATTCCTGGTGAATTAGTCTTTGAGTGGTTCCTGTCATTTAGGATCTATTGGTTGTAATACGATTATAAAACAGGGCAGTAGCCCTCTATTAAGTCAATAAGAATCAGTTTACAATCATCTCTTTTGTCTCTTTAATTTACAAAAATAGCATCTACTTTCCATAAGTCTCTTGTCAATATGGCTCATTTTAATTAATTTGAAAACATTTTCCATAGGAATTCCTTTAAACTCACAAGATCATAAATAAGTTGGAAACTAGTAAGTAGGAAGTAGTAACCATAGATATTCTTGTCTCGGGTGGTGTTGGAGATATCTATTCAAATGCCATCTTCTCCAACTCTTCCGATCAACAAGTGAATCGGAAACCTGACAACTTTCTTCTCTTTCCCATCTTCTTTCCACGAATCGGCAAACTTTCCTTCCATCTCCGTCGTCAGAAGCTCTAAACCCTTCTCCTTAGCCGTCTGATACGCCGAAGATGACCTCAGATAAGTCATATACTCTTCATACACCATTTCTTTCTCAGTCACGAACCTTATCGGCAAACTTTGACTTTCCGTTGACTCATCATTATCCACCTTCTCGAACGGAAACTCAATTCCTCTGTACCCATCCTCCACAAGCCGCCTCGCTTTATCCCAATGAGGGCCAAGTTTCTCATCGTAAAACCGTTGGAAAACCTTGTCCACGGCGGCGTTAACCTCCGGATTGGTGTAGCACCAGGCGGCGATTACCCCGTCGGGTTTCTTGAGCACGTGTTTCACGTTGCTATAGAAGTTCGTGAGGTCGAACCAATGAAGGGCCTGTGCGACGGTGACTAAATCGACTGATGATTCAGGTGCTACTAGCTTCTCTATCTCCGATGAAGACATCGTCGGTGGAGTGATCTCGTAACGGACGTTGGGAAGCCTTGCAGCAAATTCAAGTTGCTTCGAGCTCGTGTCGGTAGCAATCACGTTCTTGTAGATTCCGGCTAGCTGGACAAAATTAAAATTAGTTCAGGAGAAATCGTATTCGAAATCAATATCGAATGAATCTGTCCCAATTGATATTGAATCAAGAGTCTATCAAACGTAACAATTTTGAGTCAAAAGTGTATCAAACCCAAACATGATATAGAATTTTGAATCAAAATTTGAAGACTAACACGAAAATTGTAAGTTTATTTAGAAATTGAAGAACATTATTATACCCATCGTGAGGCTTGGCCGCTTCCGGCGCCGACGTCCCAAGCAAGGTCGTGGCACGGTGTTTTCGATGCCAGATATTCGAAGAGTTTGGTCGGGTAACTGGGTCGGGCTGCTGCGTATTGCTCCGCTTGCTTGATGAATAATTTCGCCATTTGTTCTCTCTTTTTTTTTTTTTTCTCGTGCTTCTTGAATAAACTTTTTAACTTGGGTTTTGAAGGATCCGATGGATCTATTATATGTAACAAGGATTCGATAGAAGCGTGTCAAACTTGAATTGATCAAAGTTATATGTAACAAGGATTCGATAGAAGCGTGTCAAACTTGAATTGATCAAAGTTGGTGAATGGAATCCAAAAGAGTGATTATCACGGGAAGGTCATATATGCTGTTAAAGAAAGTGCTGTTAAACTAAATCTTTTCGCGGGAAGATATGATAGTTTAAATGGGCTTCTATGGACTCTCCTTAGCCCAATATATAAAAAAATCAAATGGCCCATTAATCAGTTTATGAAAACTTATTGGAGATATACTTGAACTCTGGAAATACCCTTTTTTCTTGCCACGTATTTTATAACTGTTATAAAAATAATAGCTAGAGAAAGATAGGAGTATTAGTTAATTAATGAGACTGAATGACTGATACTTGAATTTAGAATAATGAAATTCCCAAAAATGGAATGGTAAAGTGGGAGATCTGGAAATTGGTGAAAAAAGTCTATGAAAGTGACAACCAAATTTAATGGTAAATCCTCATTAAATCATGTCGAATTTCATTATTATTTTACCTTTCTTTGGCCCCTCGATTTATAAAAAGGTTAATTATCGCCAACTTGTTTCACCATTGAGTCATTGACTCTTTTATTTGATTTTTACCTATCGAAAATTTATTTATTAGTCTTGTCCACAAATGCAACATTACTATATAGTCTACAAGCCGTAAATGCGTGGGACAAAATGATTATTAACCAATTTTAATGTATTAATAATATTAAAGATCTTTGATTTTTATATTATTAGATAAATTAAACGGTAGTATATTAATAATTATCAAGATTAGTAGAATTTTCATTTATGTATTAATATTTATGTTTATCATAATTTATGATATACTAGATAAGGTCCGCCTAAATAGGCGGGTATAATATATAAATATAAATTATTATCAATGATATTTAAATTTTGATTAATATAGTAATCCATTCACTTTCTCTAATATTTAATAATTTAGTATTTTTTGTTTTAAACAAAAATTAAATCTTACACATTCCATTTTTTTATACATTTTAACAATTTATTTCATCGTAATAAACTGAATTTTAATTCTACACACTCTTTCATATTCTTAAAATTTTTAGTTTATAATTATTACTACATGCACTAAAATTCTTAAAATAAAATTAAGTATAACCACACTAATGTTTTTTTTATCAAATATTCAAATATTCATTCGTTTTTATAAGCTCATTATTTTTTGTAAAAATCTTGTGTTTTCATTTGGTGAATAAAAACACTATATTACGATGATAAATACAATTTTATCCAATTAAATTAATGTTAAATAAATTATATTGTTATTTAAAACTTCAACCATTATTCTTTATTTGTTAATATCCTTTTTTATTGAACAAATATTTGTTAATATCCATACTAAATGATTTTATAGAAAATAATTAACACATGCCAAATCTAATTGACCAATAACACATGTGAAGAAAAATTGTTAGTTTTCCTTTTTGGCTAAGAAAAATAAAGTTAACAAATTTTAAAAATTAGATATATAAATTAGTATATGTAAATATATATATATTTTTTTTGAACAAATATTTGTTAATATCTATACTAAATGATTTTATGGAAAATAATTAACATATGCCAAATCTAATTGACCAATAACACATGTGAAGAAAAATTGTTAGTTTTCATTTTTGGCTAAGAAAAATAAAGTTAACAAATTTTAAAAATTAGATATATAGATTAGTATATGTAAATATTCTTTTTTTTAGTTTTCCTATTTCGTTAATGAAAAAAGTTAAATATATTTTGACAAATGTCAACATCTGATCGATAGACTTGACACGTGTCACGATCATGCGAATTATTAACTTTGAAAACCATACTTTATATAATAAGATATTATTAAAAAATAATGCTTATTACTAATTTTTTAAGTTAAATTATGGAGTATCTTTTTTCCTTGGATTCTAATTTGATCGACACTCGACACCATATCTGCAATCAGAAACATCTTTATAACACGTGAACCATATGGTGCAAAGTTATCAAAATCGAATAATTGTTGTACAACTTAAACCCTTATACTATAAATACGTACTATATAAACTGGGGTGCTGAAAAAAAAAAAAAAAAAAAATTGGGGTGCTGCAATTCAAATATATAAGTCGAATGTTGTTATGAATTATGATTGTAATATGAATATGTGATTTGTTCAATGATAAATATATCTTCTCACTTTAAAATCTTCAAAAAAAAAAAAGGTTATAAATTATAAATGAATAAGTTTTCGCTCTTTAGAGCATCTCCAATGTCCATCTCTATATTTTTCTCTATTTTAGAAGAAATTTTTGCTCCACTGTGTCCCTCTAAAATAGAGAAGAGAAACATTAAATTACTTTATATATAGAAGCATACATTGTCTTTCTCCTCTATTTTAGAGGAAACTCTCTATTTCAGAAGGATACATTGTAGCAAAATTTCCTGTAAAATAGAGTTCCTCTAAAATAAAAGAAAATATAGAAGCGGGCATTGGAGATGGTCTAAGTACTAGTTTCTATCATTTTTTTGGATACTAATAAATTACTTTATTTCAATGAATTAATATCCACTGAATATTTGTTATTTACATGACCTTAAATTTCAAATACTGGTTATCAAGAAAATGTTTTTTTTTTTTCTTTTTCGTTTTGATATAGAAAAAATAAACGAAATTCCTGGTCGAACATATTATGGCGATTGTGTCTAGTTATTTTGTCTTAAACCATAGCTTCATTTAAAAAGCATACAGATCTATAAGAATGTCTTTCCATATGGTATATATGAAGGGCGAAAAAAAAAACTGTTACTGAGGTATCAATCACACAAGTACGTTTTCTTGTTAGACAAGTATATGTCTTGTCAAACAAATAATGTAAAGATACGAAATTTGTAAGAAAATAAATATAGAGATGTTGACCGAAGAAAATACAAAAAGGAAAACATTGAGATATTAGTGTCAATGCCAAATTTTAGTCTAATCCAAAACTTATTTTATGCAATAATACAATGTAAATTATGATAATTAGAGTGAACTTGAAAACTGATACATCTAAGATGATGAATAGACAAGAAAGCCCCTGAGAGCAGAGATGATAGAGAAGAGCAAAGCCCAATGGTCACAGTCATCACAGAAACAGAAAGTTTCAGGTATCTCTTAACTCCAACTCCCAAGTTTTTCAATTTTCTTTCTCTCTCTTTCTATCTATTCTCTGAAACAAAAGGAATTTTTGAGAGCTTTTGGTTCAGCCCAAAGGTCTCTCACTCTCTCTGGTTATATGCAAAGGCTCTCATCATTATTCATTTAATACTACTGGAACAAGTGAACACTGAGTGAGAGAGACGCATGAAAAGGAGACTGAGACTTGAGCTCTAGGCCTACTCATGGTATGTGGAAGTCAGTGCTCTTATAACCTAAATTATTATTCATATTCCAATTATTCATATTCCAACTTAAATCATACAATCTGTTAGCTAACTTCAATTATAATCAAGTAGCTAACCTGTGAACATGAACGGTTTCAACACATGGTTATAAGTTGGACTTGGTTTGTTAGGTCATTGCAAAGAAAATCTGGGTAGATGGAGACCATCACACAATTAAATACTCTACCATGTGATAATTAATGTATATAATCAGGGAATCACATAAATTAATTTTTTGATTGAACAATAAATATAAGATTAAAACTGTCTTACTACTAAACAATTTTCTTAAACTTAGACTTTTACTGTTTACTGTTTAGTAACAGAACAATACTTATTGGTTTATTGAGTTTAGGGAGTGGTAGCAGAAGCTTTTTTTTTTTTTTTTTTTTTCACAAGTGGTAGCAGAAGCTTGTCAGGTGATTTTGTGTTTAATGACACGTGTCGAACGCTATGACAGACTTGAAGTAGACGGAGTCCGTTTAAAGTAACGCCGCGGCCGTACCGTTATTTTTTGAAAGCCGCTATTTTCGCATAACCATAACTAGGAAGAGACCTCTCATGTGATAGATAAAAAAGTTCATGTAATTATTAATTATTACCTACAAGAAAAGAATTGACAACAAAATAAATAGCCAATAATAATATTTATTATAAATTTCGGCAAGTTAGAGAAATGAAGTCAATGGTACTCAAAATTATCTGCTATATAAGAAAATGTACCAAAAAATTGCAGAAAATAGAATAATTTAATATACAATATGAATCTCATTTTAATTCCATGCATGTACTTATATGTGTGTTGGTTTTGGTGCGTTTTTGATCATTTTTAATTACTATAGCGAAAATTCAGAGGATGGTTTTTTGGTAGCTTCATTTAAAATTTTCGAATTAGTTAAAACTTAAAAGTATAAGAAAATGAAAAAAGAGAAAAAGAAAAATAAGAGAGGAGCAGCAGAGAGACAGAGAGAGGGGGAGATTGAGAGGTCAAGTCATTGAAGTCAACATCACATCTCTTCACATGCAATAACACACGCCATTGTCTTGTCTTGTCATAGATCAATTTGCATACCAACAAAATTTTAATCGCATACTTAAATAATCTATCTATGGATTCATGTTTATACTTAGCATAAATGTATATAAAAGATTCAAGTTTTTTGTCCACAAAAAGAAAAGAAAAAAAAAATTCAAGTTTAATTGCATCTGTTTCAGTTGTATTGGGCCTATAAAATTTATAGAGAATATGCATCAACTAACCATTAACCATGAATATGAAAAGAATTGAGAAACTAACTATGATGTTATAAGACACACTCTCTCTTCAATTACAATTACTTTTATACCCATTTATTTATTACATGTTATTTTTAAAAATCACACAAACACTCACATGATTATGTGATGAAGAACTTCCAACGATTAACGACTACGACACCGCATTCTTTTTCTTCTCGAGACGGAAGAACGACGACCACAATAAAATCATTGTTACTAATTTAATCTACCA